ACAAGGGAGTTTTAGGTCTAAAGTGTTACGGGGGTCCTTATATCCAATTCAATCACAAGAATTGCTATGCACCACCAGAAAATCCTCACTTTTGCTTTTCAGCTTAATCTAAAACCAAATTACTCCCCAATAAGCTGCAGTATTACTAGAAAACAACACTGAAAGCAAAAGCTCCATCTCGAGTACGAAGTCAACCGCCTCGAGAGAGTATTACAAGTTGACATCAAGTCAATCAAGACTATCATTGGTAACTATAGCAACAGAGGAGGTGCGCAAATACTGCACACAGCCACACTATAAAAGATACCAAACAGCTCTAACACGAAAGAGGTGCGGCGCGGGAAAGATTATTCCCATTGTCGACAGGCCACTACAAGTACGCAGTAACTTCCGGCCGGAGTTATCGCAGTACGAGCAGTGCACGTTGAAGAGCACACGAAGACACACAGTTACGTGCTGGAAGCAAGGAAATCCGGCTGTTATTCATCGAGTTGAAGCGGATTACGTCATCGTGTCATCGCGCGAGATTTTGATCATCACATCACGACGAGCAGAAGCCATTGAACGGGGATCAAGATAGGTCTTGACAAGGCGTTGCAAGCCAAAGGTACATACATCAATCGATAGAGGACCTAGCCGCAACTCTGGTATCCTCTGAACTTCTAACTCCAAAAGTTGAGCGAGATAGGGTGATACGAGTCAACAGTTGCTATTGTGAAGTGAAGACAAAAATCCCGGTAACGACACGGAGCTTTAAAACTCTCACGAGAGCTGTTCCAGACACTGTAACTCACTCAGTACACTCATCTAACATTATTACAAGGTCCTGCATCAAGAAAGCAGTGATCAGAGACCATCAGAGGCAGTCCGCTACTACCCAAGCCAAGAAACTTCCTACGGACACATACAACAATCCACGTTTTATGCAATACACGGCTCTTAGCCTTATTCGCGACCGATCCTAGATAGGGTTTGAGTTCGACTCTACCGAGTCTCTCGTGAATAGTCATTTGAGACAGGTTCTCAATGACCGCGCTATCATACTAGGTTGATGATGAAACATCGCTCTAATATTTAGCCAGCGTGGAGTACTTCCACGCTTCTAGATCCAGGCTAGACAAACCTTCCACGCCGTTCCGTTTTAGGCATCGTGGAGAGACGTAGGATTACTACCACAACCTACTCTAGTCACACTTTATAGTCTCCCGCGGAAGCCAGATCTACGATGCTTTTGATGATGATCTCTCTCGTTGATTAGTTTTCATAGCTTTTCTAATCTCTCTCTTAACTTTCATTTTCTCAACTCAAAACACTCGAAAGATCTTTACACTAGCTTTTAGCGTAGTGCATTTTGTTAACAAACACAATAGCTTTCAGCTACCCTCAACCTATTCCTTCACCATGAAGTTGCTCAAGGAAAGCAATGCGTTCCGGAACTTCGAGAAGGTTCCTTGCATGATGAATTTGCATGCGAACCGGACTAGATGATTAATACACGAGTCAATAGTAAAGAGGTGTCAGGTATTTTTCCTCCAACAGTTGTCGAAGTCATACAGAAAGCTGATTCGCTTGGGTTGAACCTGCCAGACAACAAGCGAAGGGCCTTAGCTGAGTTCATTTGTGGATTGCCCCAGATTACACTCACGGCGATAACACCCAGGATTGTTAAGCATGGCTTCTACCAAAATGGCATTCTGGCTGAGCTTAACAGTGAGTCTAAGCATGCCTTCCCCAACCTGGATCGGATGATTTCGACTTGCAGAACAACAATCCCAACAACCCTCAGGCAGAAGTGCTGGGATGATTATGCTAGGCTGGCTGCTGAGTGCATGAATAACGAGATGGTTCCTGAGCCAGTTTTTGATGAGTTAGGGTATGACATAGATAAGAACTCCCAAGGACAAGAAGTGCCCAAGTATCAGGGAATTTCTCAGGAGCATAGACAAGAGCCAAATGCCTCACACATGAAGCTCAGGTTGAGCTGAGACAAGCCAAAATGGTAGCAGTGGAGGCTGCTTTAACAAGAAAGTTTAGTGAATGCCTCACAAAGCACAAAACTTTGAGTGATCTTAACAAAGAGTGTGAATCCAAACTACAGGAGCTTGTTGATGATCCAAAAGGTCTTTTGGGTCCTGTTGAACCCACTTTGGAAAACTTTGGCAGCATTACTGCCCCAAGACTGAAAGCCTTCATTCATGTCAGAACCTTCCCTACTTATACTACTGACAAAGGACCCAAAGACTGGGCTGGGTGGCCTAAGAAGTCATCGGCTGCTGAAGCTGCCAATGGAGATCGATGTTTGGTGAGACTTGCTTATGACTGCAGAGACAAACCTTGTATTATGCAGAAGCCAGTCAAACCGGTAAAGGCAATGCCACAGCAGCTCAGGCATCTATCAGCTACAATTATCAGATCCAGCACATTGACATTTCATTCTGATGTGTATACACTTGCTTCTTCTCTTTTAGCAGATGATACTTGGAGAGTCAAACTCATTGCTGCCTACCGGCTTGATAGTGAGACTACAGTTACTATTACAGAGAGCAGCCTTGGGAGGGCTGACTACCTTCAAAAGAGACTCATCAAACGGCTGTAAGTTCATGTGACAACCAAGCTCGAAAAGTCAGAGCACAAAGAGAATTGGTGTTGGAATCTAACTGCCAGTAAGTTGGGTCATGTGTCGGCAATATTGATACTCTTTGGGTATGTCAAGGATGACCTGGAATGTTTGGATGAAACAGCCTGTTTCCTACTCGACAATCCTGCTCTATTCCGTTTGGTCACAGAAGAGTTTGAGGAGGATGGTGTATACATGTACTGGGATACCAACAATATGCAGTGGATTAGGGTCGGCATGGTAGCTCTTCGCAAATTTTGGCTGCGATTTGTTGAGCACAGCAAAATGGCACAACTCAAAAGTGGAGAATCTGGAGCATTCTATAATGCCTATCCCTCCAAATATGCCAAGAAGACTGTTGACCCAGCTCTTCGACGAGGTTATCATGAGAATCTAAGGCAATACATTGCATTGGGCTATCCACTAGCCAAAGATGTGAAGGATCTTGTAGATGTGTTTGGTCTCAAGGCAGCAGACAATCGGTGGATCAAATCAATGCGCTATAGGACAAAAAATGGACAAGCTATTCAGCTAGCTGATCAGCAACGACGTGCCATGCATTACCTTATGGAATGTGGATTGAAGCTTTGTCTTGCTCTTGCTTGTGACATTTCTGTAAATGCTGGCTGGGAACAGGCAACTGGATGCTATGGTAAGGATTAGCTATCTAGATAGCTTTTAAAGTTAGTAGTTGTATGTGTAGTATTGACAGTGGAGTGTTGTCCACCAGAACTTTGCTTTGGATTTTCCCTGCTGATGCACTAGCTTAAAGGGAGAAAACAATTTCTTAAAAGTAAGAAAAAATTCAGGGACATTGGAACCTGTCCTGGGGATGGTAGCCAGGTGCACGCACGTCGGTACCGGTACCGGTACCAGTACCGGTACCAGTACCGGTACCGGTATATGCACGTGATTGACGGGCGCTCGGGACATTGACAATCAGGAAGGTCACTTGACTCGACTCGACTGTCACTCGTCACTCCATCGAACCTGTTTTTATTGCAAAAAACAAAAATACAAAACATCTTGTTGTGTTGGCTTGGGTCAGTGTTTGGGCTAGCTACTAGTAGGGGCTCTAGAGGGAGGACGGGCCCTTGGATTGCAGGCGCAGTACCGGCACACCATACCGGTAGCTAGATGGTTCCCGCAGCCTTGATACTTCCACGATCTGGCTGCCTAGTAGACAGAAGCAAGCTACCGATAGAAGTAGTGGCAGGGAAGCTAGAGTAGCTAGCTCCTGGCACCTACTGTGACACCTACTGCCTAGCTATTGAGAGCGCTTGGCAGAAACTTCTCAAGCAGCTCAGCCCTCATACATACTTCTGATCGTAATCCATGGCAACGTGTCGACTAAAGTTTGCGCGCGTTCGATCGGTGCCGATCATGATAATGATACTAGTACATGTAAATGCCCTACTTCTTGCTTGTTGTTCTCTTGCAACTGCCAGTTGTTTCTAGCTGTTTCGTCGCTCCAAGCAAAACACCATCATCTCATTGTACCGGCACACTCCCAGCACCAAAGCAAGCAAACCTTGCGAAGTCAGCCAGACCCAGTGAAACCTGTCACACTACGGCCCCCAAATTTGATATGCCTGTCTAGTAGCCCGATCAGGCGAGGAAGACTGGTTTGTACTGCTCAATAGCTGCTCAATGACATAGCTACGAGTATCATACAAAAGCATGCATCTTAGGAAGTGGCTGCCTCGTGTGAGCGATTAGCTAGCCTTTCTGCCTTCTTGCAATTAGTGAAACTTTTTTTGTTTCCCGCACTTGACTAGTAGCTACGCAGCACTCCCAATCGAGGAGCCAACAGCTCCAAACGATACATATCTAGAAGTGGTATTCGTCCCTTACTACTAATAGCCAGCATCCTTGCGCCTGCTGCTTCAAGGTATGACGGCGGGATCGAAGGGAACCACTTGGTCAAGGTGCCTGCACAGCCAATTCGCACTTGTAGAAAATAAATGCTGGCATGAATGGCGAAAGAAAAGGACCCAAGTGGATGACCTATGAGCTGTTGGCTGGGGCTGCTCTGGCTACTAGTCTACCGGTAGCTCGAGCTCTAAATAGCCATGCGACCCCTCAGCCTTGGTAGCTACTTCCGCCATACTAGTACTCAGTCATTGGAGGAGAGATGTCGTCACCTCCTTCACAAGTACTAAGCCAAATAGCTGCCAAATGCATACTTGAGAGCTCCTTTAGTATTATTACTTGAACATATTGGCTTCCCCTTTCCCCACGTTGGCCAGTATCACACTAGTAGCAGGGAAGCAGCTTCACCCAAGCTCTATGTTGCTCGATTTCCATGAACTCTTGGTCTTTAATGGGGGCCTTTCGCATTCCGGAGTTCTCGCGTACTGTAGTGTGGTATGGACAACTTGAACCCGGTGGGCTATCGTCGACTCCTCCCCATCTATTGCTAGGCTTCAATGAGTTGGCGAGCTGAAAGATGTAGTTCCCGAACGGAGCGTTTCGTGGTGCCTTGCTTTGTGGCAAGTGAAACCACAACAGCCAATGGGATGGCGCCTTTAGGCACACTGATCCCTTTCGATGGCTAGACGATGGTTCACGCATTCAGTAGTCATGGCTTGTCCTTAATCGTTAATCGAGTCCTTGCCATGGCCGCTATCGAGTATACAACACAGAGTTGCCCCAGAAAGTAGCCATGAAAAGAACCCTGGCACTACGTTTCTGGACTGGCTGGCTATCTAGCTAGCTGTTACATAGTTGGCCGTACTCCGAATTCGCATCCTATATTGCTGCCTTCATTATCGACCGTGCCAGTTGACATGTCGTTGCTCGATCTTTTGCCTTTTGCACCGTTTGACTCTCCCTAGTGACACCTCGAGGGCTACTCAAAAGCCAAAACAGCAGCTTGTCCAGATTGACAAAGAGCATCCATATGGAGCTCCATATGGGATCTCTGCGGAAACAGCAGAAACTCCCACCGTAGAAGCTGTTGATCAAGCATGTCAGCTGATGTTAATAATTTCCAGCTGACCAACAGCTCTTTTACGGGTTCTTAGGCCTGACCATAATCTCTGTCAATGGCTATCGAGCATCGGGGGCAGTTTGGTCGGGGGGCTCGGTGATCTTGAAAACTCAGGAAACTGCCTCCAAGAGACTGCAAGTTTGGATCTTTCTGAAAAAATGAGCTACTAGTATATATGTTCTCTTTTGAAGTCGACGTGGCACCTCCAACCCCAAGACAGTTTCTACAAAATGTCCTTGTTCGTCCACTCTTACCGCGTCTGTTAAGTATATGCCTGTTAGCTGAACTATCATTTAAGAGACATACGGAAGTCTGGAGTTCGATTACAGGCACTTCTTGTGGCATTCGTTCCTGCAGTTCAAGTGCTGACGTTGCACAAAACAACCAAAGATTTCGCAATTCTTTTGGCAATTCAATTGGCACCTTGTTTTATCTTCTCTTCTCTCTCGATCTTCCCGCTGGCGAGCCAGCTCCATAATTTTGAACACAACGGGTCAATCTTCCATTCATAGTTCATTCATTGCTCTCCTTCTATGATAACGAGATAACACAACCAAACAGACAACAACCATGCCAAGCAAACACAGCAGTACAGACCACCGACGAACCTCTCGTTCCAGGAGCCCTTTGGAGGATAACAGCGTGTTTGATATCCCTATGGTGATTGAGTTTTCAGTTCCTGCGCAGCAACCCGCTAATCGATGGAGTGCGGGTTCAACTTCGAACTTCAACAGAGGAGCACCTGCACCAAAGAGTTCAAGGCAAGATGACAGTGACGAAGACATCCCTATCATGATCAGTGTGCGTGGTCCAGCGGGTTGCGGCGAAAGCATTACCACCCGCTCTTCTGTGGGTACCGGGAATTGCACGGGCGGCTCACGGGGACAAATAAGTCAAGGCACGGGAATGTCTTCTCGCACCTCCCGCACCAACATGACGAGACGTCGATCTTCTATTGGGCCCCCCAATCTGCCGAGGAGGCAAAGAAGTGGTAAAATGAAGTTGATTGAGATCTATCGGTGATTCGATTCTCTGGTCCACATGGACCCGTAAGCTAGAAAAGACTATACATTCAGCTTGTATTATAGAAAGTTAATAGATCGCAGCACTTGCCTCTACACACTAAAAAACATCCAATGTTTCCCTCGTCTTTTCCCTTGGGCAGCCATAGGCACAACGCTACTAGCTGGCTAATTGACTAGTTGTCTCCCGGTCGATAAGGTACCGGTACCATCCCTGGTCACAGAAATACTACATGTAGTACTAGATACTACTTTTCGCCGAATATCAGTGGTATCCCGTAGTCAATAATGGCTAAGACAGTTGTTGTGGTCAACGCCTGGTTGAGATGGCGTCTTTTGTCTGGGCATGTCCTCAACTTGCGAGCATCCGAGCAACAACGATCACCGATGTCTCGTACCAGGTCCCCACTACTACTAGCTAGCCAGGAGCAATAGCTGGGTGGCGCTCGTCGAGCCCTAGCTAGCTCCTAAGAGTAGTCTATTGGAAAAGAGGCGATGAGGCGATAGTTGGTGGGCAGTTGGTGTAGCTAATGGCCGACTGGGATCTCAGAAGCAGCCAAAGTCCAAAATAGGGACAATAATGAACCTTCCCGTCCGCTGAACATAATTGACGACCAGGCAATATCCACCGACATAGCTCGCCAGTAGCTCGCTAGCTACTATCTGCTCTTGTGCTTCGATCTCTCGAACACCGAGGCAAGAGAGGAGAGCTTGAAAGAGCAGCCAGCGCTTGCTGAGTCTCTCAGTTACTACGCTAGCTAGCCGGTAGCCATCCAGAGGAAGCATCAAATCATTTTCACAAGGAAGCCACAGAGGACGTCAGCAGCAACGGTCTATCCATGGTCAGTGCAGACAATGCAAATTTGATGATCGAAACACAATACCTACTCAATGCTGATGAAGAGTACACTGTTTCCCTCCTGTTCCAAACGGCAGTTCACTGGCTGAAAGGCGAGGAAGAACACAGCTATTGGACCCATGCTGCCGTACGGTACCGGTAGGTCCTTCGCTCCTTGATAAGTGAAACACTGCCCCGGCACGTAACAGCAAAGATTTCTAAGCAAAGCAAGCTGAAATATGCAGCTTTCTAGTTTGTTTGTTCGTTTGTGACGATCCCCTAGCTAGCTAGTAGTACCATTAGCACCTAGACAGAGCGAAGCAAATGCCTGGCAGGCAGGAGAGGCAGGATCCCAAGAACTGTTGGGAAAGCTAGCTAGCTTACGCAAGCCAAGCATTCAACGAAACCACTAGCCAGGGCAGATACCGAAGCAAAGGAAGATTGCCCTTTTGATTAAGTAAATAGCTAGCTTGCTAGCAGCATAGCTAGTCGAACAAACAATATGATGATTGCTCATCGAAGCTCGTGAGCATCCGCTCCAGCATTCCACAAACACGGTGAGGGTTTTTCCACGCCGTGTGAAACCTGAATCAATCTCTAACCCTTATTGGATATAAATGAGACCGCCAAGCTGTTTAAATTCAAAAGGGAGGGAACTTTAGAAACAAAAACGGAAACAGATCTTGTCTCCTGTTCTAAAAGTTGCATGCTTGCATGCAGTGCCGTGGGCCTCTGCACTCTGCAACATAAATGTACTTGAATGAACTGCACCGTCATCAATCCACAGTTGTATTCAAAGGCTGCTGCGCCTGGCTAGCTATCTAGCTAGACAAACAGAAGGTCAAAGAGTGTCCCAGAGTGGTATTCGTGGAAGGTGCTATGGTGTAAAGAAATAATGCGAGGATTAGAACTTGGATTCTTGACAGGGCCTACCAGTACCAGATGCAAGCCTCCCAGGAAGCATGATTTTGCTCATGAAATAGTGTTGCTACTAGCTAGCTAGCTAGAGTCCAGGTGTGCAAGCCAAAGTCAGGAACTACATGTACATGATGTATTAGTACCGGGCCCAAGTAGGTTTGTTGTCGTGCTGACGGTCAGTCGTGAAAGGCCCTAACAATCATCGTTGTTGCATCGTGCTCCCTTTCTGTCTTCAAGACTTAGTCTTTTATGTCTTTTGATCCTGCCAACTGACATTTTGATATAATGATGGGAGAAAACTGGTCAAATAAATGTTGTTGATGATTGATGATGGCCATCCGTGCTCAGTGCACGGTAGCTACAGTAGTAGTCTAATAACCCACCCCACTACTAGTAGAGTATCAAATTCAACAGCAACAAGCAACCCTATCTCGTTTGTTTTCTTGCTTGTGTCCTGCCTTGCTTGCTTAAGTCGAAAGTTGGAGGTTTTGAGCCTAAAGCCAAAACACAGGAAGACGAGAAACTCTGAAACTCTCATTGTAGACTACTAGGTGGGGTGCTTCAACTTCCAGCTAAAATCAATGCTAAATTTAATTCTTTTGATGTCTTGAGCTTTTATCTTGCTCGCTGGGAGGGCTGTTGGTGGGGCAGAGCCTGTGCTTGAACGCTTGAACCACAGCAGCGTATGCGTAGTGCACCTGATGTATCGTACTAGCTCGCTAGAGTACCAGGTAGCGGTAAAGCGGTAAAGCGGTAAAGCGGAGTCTTGAGATTCGCACTGACGTTGAAGTGACAGGGGTATCATACCGTCATACCGTGAGTCGTTGCGTCTTCGCCTTATCTCCTTATTACCACCAGCTGTTATGCTTGGTTCCAAATGGTTAAGGTACTTATGCTCTCGAAGCATAAGGTCATCATTTGCTTATGTCCATGCTCCGTAAATAGTAAAACTTTCCGATACCATTAATTCAATAGTTCAATAAATACAAGTTACAGATATGTCTGCAGTATGTCTAAGTGCAATATAAAGGCAGTAGATAAAGAAAGACTGACCAGAAAGGCTTTAAACAGAGCGTCTGTTTGGGAATGTCTCTGGAGAAATGCAAGATTGATCATTCGTTCCAATAATAATGGCCCGAGACCAGTACAGTAAGTTCAACGTGCTTTCATCGATCAATCCATTCACAGTGCACGGAACTGGAATGAATTAACGGATGGTCGATGTGGCGGCGATGTAGCTGTAAAGCGAATGTGCTCCCCCCAATGCGAAGACAGCACTGAGCGATACCAGTACCTTGTCAATCCGACAATCTCTCATTATATTTCCACAGCGAGAGACAGAAGTAGCCATCTAGCCAGCTAGAGAAAGAACGAAGAGTTGACCATGACCAACAACAGCTACAACAGTCGCAACGTCAGCCTGGATCTGTCTCATCCAGACTCTCTTCGCGCCATGGCTGTCTTGTGCACCAACAAGGCCCGGAAGCAAAAGATCAAGACTATCACGCTCCATGTGTCGTCGTCATCACAGCAGAGTTTAACAGCCGATTGGAACTGCAACAATTGCGAGGATGACCACATCACGATGGATGCACAGTCCATGTTGGCCGTCTTTACCATGTTGGGTAGCTTCCCGCAGTTGCGTCAAGTCACGGTGGATTTGGACCTTGGAACGTTGCCCGTGGGATCTCTGTCCGTGCTCTTGGAAGGAGCGCAAGGACTTCAAATACTCGAGTTGCGACGCGTATCCATTCCAACGGTAGTAGGACGTGACCTGCACAAGATTCTGCGTCGCGCTACATCCCTTGACACATTGACGTTGCGGCAGTGCCAAGGATATTCTGCAGTGCAAGCCTTTTTGACTCATTTGCCCAATCTCAAGCACTTGGAGTTGATTGGGACCAAACTGAGTCCCCAAGGGACGCTGACGGCCGGTCTGTTGCTCCGCACGTGCCAAAATTTGCAACGATTGCGACTCGAAGATGTACCTGATCTGCGAGACGAACACATTCAGACATTGGCAGCGTCCTTGGCGGTGGATGGGGACAGCAGTGCCACTCTTCGAGAATTCCATTTGTCTTCGGTCAGTCTGGGCGACGTGGCAGGCCAAGCCATGGCCATGTTGCTACAAACCACGCGCTTTTTGCAAAAGGTAACGCTCGAATTGGGATACTGGAGCCAGAGTGGCGTTTCCATGGCGCAGATTCTGCAGCAGTCCACCAACCTACAGCACATCCAGCTCTTGCTCCCCGGTCGCAATCAAGCATCCGTGGAACACAAGGCTCGAGGAGTCTTGGCGGCATTGGCCACCCATCCAGGTGTCACACACTTGAAGCTGACACTGCATCATACAAGCTGCAGTCAAAATGTGGTTGCTATCGAAGAAGATGATCGCAACAACGTCATGGACTCTTCTTCTAGCAGCAGCTGTCATGGCGTCAGCGACAGTGTCTGGGAAGCACTGGAAGAAATGTTGGCTCACAATCACACACTGGGAAGTGTCATTGTGATGGACACTTGCTTTCAAGTTATGGAATTGCCTCCTGCCATTCAAGCAACGTTGGACCGGAACCGCGCTGGACTCTCCCGACTTTTGTTTGGTGATGATTACTACGGCCAGGACAATGACGTTGATGAAGGTCGGTTTCATGCCGACTACGCGAATGCCGTTATCAACCACAAGGACAATCTGGATTTGGTCTACTTTGCTCTCTCCAATCATCCGACCATTCTCAGTCTATGTACTGGTACTGCAGATCAACAACATGACGACATGGAGGCTTCCTCTCCAGAACAACAGGCACAAGACAAGACCACACGAAGGAATGCACCTCTTTCTCCCCCCTTCTTCCTCCCTCATAAGAGCAAACCACCGAGTCCGGGTTCCAGCATTTCACCAAACAAACTCCTGCGACAAGGAGTCCGACGACTTGCCCGAGGGCGATGGCCTCGCAGCAAGACAACTGGCAGTAGTCGTCGGACTCCTACCAACACCATTCGGTCACTGTAAATATAATATAGGAAACGTTTCTTTCCATAGCCTGCCTTTCTCGTTTGCTCCACGAATAAATAGTCTCTTCATCGTTCAGATCGTTCAATTACAACATAGTTTTGCACAATGCTATCCAATCCGCTGAAAAGAGGAGTGCCACTTTCAAGTTCCACGACTCCTGCATCGTGAGTACGGAGTTCTGGGAAGATCAGAGCTATTGGTCACTCCATCTTCAAGGTTTGGGTTGTGGTAATGGTTCTTGTGTAGAACCAGCCATCGCTTTCCTTTTCCTGCCCAAGCACACAATGCAATGCAATGCAATGAAATGAAATGAAATGAAATGAAATGAAATGAAATGAAATGAAATGAAATGAAATGAAATGCAATGCAATGCAATGCATTGAAGTGAATTGACTGCTTGAAGTCACGGGAGAATGATGATGGTAACCAGTGAAGTACTATTTACCCAAGGGCATTCCCACATCATCTCGTCGAATGAGTCCTGGCTGACAACAGGCCACCCGTACTTTATCTCACAGCATCCAGGAGGCATTGACTCACGGCCTGGGATGATCTGCAAATGCTCGAGATTGTCCACATCATACACATCAAAGTTGGAATGTGCTCCAAGGAAACACATACCAAGTTTGGTGGTGCACTTGCTTCTTTGGTGGTGCTCCAGTTTTTTAAAAACAGTTGACATGTGGCAGGATTGCATGGATCTTGTCATGGTTCCTGTGCACGCCTCCTCCATAGAGTTCATCCATGTCAAAATTTCCACAAGTGTAGGGATTTGTTGGATCCGAGCTGGCATCTCCTGGTTCCAAAGCAAAACTTGGCATCATGGTATCAATCAAATCCAAACCCTCTGTTGAGGGCGTGGGTTGGGGAACATGGAAGAGGTTTGTGTGGAACTGTTTTTACAACCCATGCAGGATCACCTTCATCTGTCTGATCTGCAAAGAGAAGTCTCAAATAAATCATGAGATTCAGCCATCCACGAGAGAGGAGTTGCACAAGTGGTTTAATATCTACCGGTACATTTGTACAGGTATCCTCTAGAACCCAGCACTGATGAGGCTCACACGTAGACGAGATGAAAAGTCATGCCAAAACCGAAAAATTACCTCCTCCAGTAGCTGCTAGCCAACCCACCTGCCTTATGGCCGTCTAGTAGTAGGGATTTGTTGACTGGTTGCAGTAGTTTACATAATTCAATAATCACTCTTAGCAACGGTGGCTGCTACTACGAGCTAGAGCTAGCCAGCTAGACAATAAATTGTAATGGGGGGTTTTAGAGTGGTCTAGGAGAGTAGGAGAATTATCTACTGAAGCCAGCCCGGGCCAGGCAAGCAAAGAAGAGTTGAAATTCAGGACTCTAGGTTCTGTGGGATCAGGGGTGATAAATTGAGGACCCGTACAGGGGCCAAAGGGCTGGTTTTGCGGGATTCATGGAGACAATTTCTTTCAAGTGGTTTGCCTGTGGTGTGTTCTATGCATACCGGGTAGCGATTTGGTCTTTGATTCAGAAATAATTGGTTTGGTTTCAAGTTTCTAGCTAGCTAGCTAGCTAGCTGCTAGCTAGCTAGCTAGCTAGCTAGCTAGGGGTGGGCTGTTGTTGATCTGCCAACAGATGACTGCAACCTGGGCTAGTGCTGGTGCCATGGTACTGTACTTGATGCTGGCAGATCCCAAAATTGAGCTAATTTGGCTGGTCAGGAGACGATTCCTTGGCATGCAACGTACTCCCGAGTACCGTTACCGATACCATGCACCCCACAATGCTGTAGCGGCCCGTTCAGCGTACGACCGTGGTACGTAATAAGGAAGTGAAGCGAGGGAGTACTAGTAGAGTTGCGGGGAATGGGTCTTGGAGCTTGAAGCGTTTTTCTCTCGGTCAAATTATTGCAGTTTGGCTAATCTTCCACTTTGAGTCTTGCTATTGAATTCCAGAAAGCTTCCTACGAAGCTCCTACGAAGCTCCTACGATGTATTCTTACTTTCAAAAGCGGACCAAACGTTGAAAAAGGTTTTCCCGCAACTCCAATCTATTCAATTTTAAAATAATCTGCGCTTGATTTGGTCGTACCGGTACACATGTGTGTCTTTCGGCGAGTTTTGATGGCTCTGACTCAGCCTCAGAATACTACACCTACACTCCTCACTCACACTTAAGATAAGTGGGTTTAAGATACCGAGTACTCAACTTTTTGGAAATGTTTAGATTTCCCGGACACTCAGATTTCCCAAACCAGTAAGATAAGCTACAAGTACTGAGGTCTCAAATCCTAAGCTAATACTAAGACTATGCGGTGATTGAATGCAGCTAGTACCCACTATCTACCACATCACCATCTACATCCAAGTACTCCATATCCGCATCTTAGGGTGCCTCCCGACCACGGAATCTTTGGTTTCATCAATTTTAGCTTTGCACCTTTGCCTTCTTGAGCTTTGGTGGTGGCTCCTCACTGTCTCAGGGCATGGTTAGTAGTAGGGTATGTAATAAAAGCTTCTACCAGGTAGTGGCTATAAGATATCAAAGATACTGAGATTGGGCTGCTTGTAAGATAATAACTCAGTGTTGCTGTAGCTGAATCAGTTAAGATACCTCCAGTACTGGACTAAGAATAGAGTTATCTTATTGATGAGGTTGGAGTGTAGTACATGAGCAGCTGGGAAGATGGCAGGCTTTCTCACCATTTGCCCTTGAGCTGAAGTTGGGGAAGCACCCTTCCAATTAAAATTAGGAAGGGCAATACCAGTGCCATCGCCAGCTGTCTGACCAGAAAGAAAGTTCACTGACGTATGGTGGTCAGAATGCACTCTGGGGGTTTGTAAGGAAAGAGAGAATCAAACGAATCACCACCGATCCCACAACTGCAATATGGGTTAACGTTTCAAGATTCCAGCGAACGCGCTAGCTTGAACTGACACCCACCAGATGTGATCTGATACAAAGCCCAACAGTGCCTCACACTTTGCTGATTTCTGGTGATTGCTCAACGCATATGCATACAAAGGGACACTGTGCCTTCAACCAAGCCACCCCTCTGCTTCTCGAATTGACCAGCATCGGTGTATTATAAGAACCCTGTAGGTTCCCACACAACAACAACAGTGCACCAGCTTGAAAGGATGACTATCAACTCTTGTGGATATACTGAGGAAGAGGTTCTGGATAGGAGCAGAGATGCCTCCTCTTCTTCCGTTGAGAGCTCCGAGTCCAATGCTCCTCACAACTTTGACAACGAAGACGGGCAGCTGGAGCCTGATGAGAGGCCTTCAAGAGAAGAGCATCCTGCTCCGGGGGATTCGTCCTTACCGCCGATGAGTCTGGTAGACCTGCTGTTGCCAAGCATCGCTGATCTGCCATACCCTTATACCGACGACAGGGTACGTGTTCCGGCGGGACATGATGATCTCTTAGCCACCGTAAGGGCTGCACTTGCCATCATGGACGAAGATGACTTCGGCGACGACGATGAAGAAGAGGGCAATACCCATGCCGTCGCTTATCATCGCAACGAGGTCCAAGGCCAGTAAGCTCGGAGCCAGCACTTTTGCTCTACCAGCTATGAGCCACATTTTGTACAGCAAGACGACGACGCGAGGATTTCTCAGATGGATTCCGCACCCAATGTGTATGAAACGATGGAAACTAGGAATGTGAAAGGATGGAATCATTAAAGTACATTAGGAAACCTCTGAACATTATAATTATGAAGATTACACAAACACAAACGTCTTATCGTCTGTCTCCCAAGAAGCAGTCTAGAGCAATCCGAGCTTCTTGAGGTAGTCCCGATGGGGTGCCAACTCATCAACGTCGTCCTGATATTGGCCCTCCTCCTTGGAAGTGAGGCCCTTTTCCATACCGTCGCGTGGCGGAGCCAGGGGCGGAGGGAGTTTGCCCGCAGTATTTGTCGGTGGAGGTACAGGTGGAGGGAGCTCAACCACGGCAGGAGATCCCTCTTCCCCGCTGCCCCAATGGGTGCGTGGAGGAGGACTCCTTCCGGAGAGATCAACTACAACAAAGTTTTGTGTTAGGCGCTGCTTCTTGAGACGGAATAGATGTCGCTGCAAAATGTGGTTGATAAGGAGGGAACTGAGAAAGACGCCCACCACCATTCCCACTGTAGCCAAGGCGACCACAATCGCCACCATGGCGAACCCTAGGCCATCGTTGGAGCCACCACCATCCCCTGAGGGGCAACTGCAGTCGCAATCACAGCATCCCCCCTGACAATCTTGACAACATCCGTTGCAGGCGTCAGTACAAAAATAAATCTGATATCCATCGCAATGGGGGCAGCAGTAACAATCTTGGACCATCGAGGAATTTTGTGTACTGTCTCGCCTGTGGTGATGACGGTGTCGGTAGCTTTCCTGTGTGACGCTTCGGTCCATACTCCGGCTCTGAGGGGCTCCCGTACCACCTCCGTGCACTCTTGGTGCTGGAGCAACCGCATCCGCAGTTTCTTCCAAACCAGCGATCGTGTCGCTCATGGAGCACTTGTGTGCAAGGAACATGCTGAGACCGTAGATACCCAGCAGCACCAAAACAACAACGAGCCCTGTGACGGTGTACGCCAGGAAAAGCTGAAACCAGTTGGAAGTGCTAACAGAGACCCCAGCAAAAGTCCTGAATCCAGCGTTGTTGTCAGAAGATGATGAAAAGCAGAGCCAGAGAATCCATCCAAATGACAGCATGCACAGCAGCAAAACCAGACAACCGAGTCCAATGTCTCGAGTGACATAGCAACAGTACTCAGTTCTACCCGCCGACGGGCCCGTGTATACCAGCTTGTATTCCGTCAAGCACTCTGTGCACTTGGAGAAGGCAATGTGGTTCGGATTGGTGGCTCTCCAATCATCCAAGCATTTGCGGTGAACCCATTCTTGACTCCCCTTGCAACGACAAGGTGCAATCAAGGGATCGTCGCTGGCGGCTTCTTCTGGATCATCCTCTTCTTCCAGGCAAATTCGACATTGGCGCGGAGCTTCCGCTTTTTCGCAATCTGCAGCCTCGCTGGAGGTGGAATGCAAGAGCGGATCTTCGTTGATCAGTTCGTCGTGTGAAAGTAGAGTCGGTTCCATCGGTTCTTCGTTTCTGTAAGGCGCTCAAAGGCTCTCTCTTTTATGGAATCAGTCTCGTCTCTGGCTCTCTTGATGGGCATGGGATCCTGCAGGATTTTCACGTAGTTGTGCGTGATCGTTCGTGGTTGCTTCCAATCGAGTCAAGTCGTGTGGGCTTTGGATGCAGCAGTTTCGAGTGAAAGTCAGTCTTGCTCCTGAAAGGGGTATGCGGTAAATTAATATGTTTATTTTTTAATAATACCTCAGCTACTTATCAGCTACCGCATCCTCACCCTGTTTGAGACGTACCAAATAAGCCAGTGAAACCTCTACGCTATTAATAGGATAGAATTACAGCTCTAATGGCTTTTAAACTTGGATCTTTCCTTTCTCACCAGCACTTTCAGCACCCACACTCCCGACACTCATCAAAAGATCCTGGCAACAACATCAGGTTATCAAGGATATCAAACAGCAACCAACCATGGCCAAGAACAAGCCTCGGGGTCCCAAGAAGACGCCAGTGAAAATGGCTCTTCCCAAATCGGTGATACCGAAACAATCGTTGGATTTCAAGAATCGCACGTTGGAACAGGAAAAGTCGTTCCTGACCAAGGTGAATCCCACCCTTTACAAGATTGACGTTGGATTTGTCCCTGGCATGAACGTCCCTGCCTACGTGATTGTCAATGATGAACTGGAGCAATTATTGCTGGAGGAATTGGCCAGTAGTGCTCCGGGAGGCGACAAACGAGGAGGTGGCTTTTTACCGGCGCTCAAGCAAGTGGCCAATGTGGCGGCGCTGCCGGGAATTGTCAAGGGCAGTTTTGCCATGCCCGATGTCCACAGTGGCTATGGATTCTGTATTGGCAATGTTGCGGCATTTGACATGGACGATCCAGATGCCGTGGTCAGTCCGGGTGGAGTTGGATTTGACATTAATTGTGGTGTTCGATTGATACGTACCAATTTACGAGAGGAAGATGTGAGTGGAGAAAAACGACAAGAATTGTGCCAGTCGCTATTTGATCATGTCCCTGTGGGTGTGGGTCAAGATGGTGTCATCCCAATGAATCTCAAAGATCTAGAGGATGTCTTGCTGATGGGCATGGATGTAAGTTACAGGTCATGGGTGCTTCTTGGAATGAATTGTTTAAGCTATGTTCGTGCCTAATTTGTTTGGGACTATTATCTGCCTTGGACCAGTACTGCCTGCGGGAAGGATACAGCTGGCCAGAAGATCGAGAGCACTGCGAAGAAAATGGACGCATGTTACTGGCCGATCCCTCCAAAGTATCGAAACGAGCCAAAAAACGAGGCGTCACTCAATTGGGCACCTTGGGAGCCGGGAATCACTATGTGGAAGTGCAGGTTGTCGATGAGATTTTTGATGAAACCGCTGCACAGAGAATGGGTATTGGAACCGTTGGACAAGTCTGTGTCATGATTCATAGTGGCAGTCGGGGATTGGGCCATCAGGTAGCCACCGATGCTCTAGTGGAGATGGACAGGGCCATGACTCGAGATGGAATACAACTCAACGATCGCCAACTGAGCTGCGCCCGTATCGGCAGTGATGAAGGACAACAATACCTGGCCGCCATGTCAGCGGCAGCAAACTATGCATGGGCCAATCGCAGCTGCTTGACCTATTTGGTCAGAAGGGCTTTCTCCAGAACATTTGAAAAGAATGCAGAAGATTTGGATATGCACTTGGTGTACGATACCAGTCACAACATTGCGAAGGTGGAAGAGCATGCCATGATTGATCCCGAAACAGGCGAACCGGAGATCAAAAAGTTGCTCGTCCATCGAAAGGGTTCCACCCGTGCCTTCCCGCCGCATCATCCTTTGATTCCTGTCTCATACCAGTTAACAGGTCAGCCAGTATTAATTGGCGGCACCATGGGAACCTGCAGCTATGTTCTCGCGGGAACAGAAGAAGGCATGGACTACACATTTGGAAGTACGTGTCATGGCGCAGGACGGGCTCTGAGCCGCAATGCCAGCAGACGAAAACTAGACCATGAAGAGGTTCTGAAACAATTGGAAGACAAGGGAATTGCGATTCGGGTAGCCAGTCCCAAGTTGGTCACAGAAGAAGCACCAGAGTCGTACAAGGATGTCATACATGTAGTTGACACTTGTGAGCGGGCCGGGATATCGCGAAAGGTGGTCAAGTTGCGTCCAATTGCTGTTGTGAAGGGATGAGTTTGATTCATCGCTGGCCAACGAATATAACAATATACATCGTTCGGTGCATTCCGTCGGTGACGCAAAGAGCCAGAGCTGCTGTACATGGCACATGGCACAAGTGGGAAGTGGGACAACTTGACATGAAGTCGTTGGCGGCTTGTGTTAGACAATACTGTGTTTGTCAACTTGAGGAGGCGTGATACTAGTACTTGATACGAGCAACGCTACGAGCATAATGGCAAGGGTTTAGCTTCACAAGCTATCAGTACTGGGGTTTTTGTTTTTGTTTGGCTCTCACTGAGGGAGGCAGCACGTGCTTAGCCTACCTGGTAGTTTTTAAACACCAACATCCTTAGACTAGTCTCCTAGGAACATCCAATGGGCACATTCTCGAGGCGGCAGCCCACCTCTTTCAGCCGGGGGTGCCCCGCAGCATGACAACGTGGTGTTTTCTTTTGGTGGGACACGTGCTGCATGGATCTGTTTTGCAGGATGCTGCCTGTGGAGTGCGATACTGCAGAGTCATCATAGGCAGCAATGGCGTTGCCGTTGGCGCTAAAGATGGCTTCACGGAGTTGCCAGCCCTCGGAATTTTTTGGAAAAGACTTCCAGGTCTGCGTCATTCATGCATTCACGCAGTGTTTGCATTGCCAATGGTGCCAAAGATGGCTTCGAAGATGCTCTCGGAGCAGCCAGAGGACTGTGAAGTGTGATGAGAAAGACTTTGGTTGGGTTTGCAGCCACCAAGACACTAGCAGCCTTTTACGTGATGTTGAGTGGCATCGTGTTGGATAATCATGCACGATCGTTCCGTAAGTAGCGAACGATTCTTTCGGAGAAGGTACAGGCTGTCTGATTGACTACCAACGCAACCAACTAGCCTCACCAAGAAATGCTGCAAACCAAAAGAGAGTTGGATGATGCAGCAGCTAAAGATGCCTCAGAGGAGAGGCGAGCTTTCTTTGTCACATTTCCAACCAAATATCCGGCCAAATGATGCAAGGAGGCTCGTCGAAGCTCCAACCAAGAAAAAGAAACTTGGATGATGCTTGTATGTATGCGCAGCTCCCGCTAGCTAGCTGTCTGATTGACTACCAACGCAATCAACTAACCGCTCCAAGAAAACTACACGTTGCATCCATGTAAGAGGCCCGTCAAACAAACAGAAAGTAGGTTGAGAAGTTCGATGATGCTTGGTGGTGCAGCTTCTGCCAACGTTCTATTGTTCACAATGCCAGCATCCATTCTACATCCAGATCAAGACTATATCCAAAGTCCAAAGGACAGGATTATTAACGCAACCAACTATCCAGGCAAAATAATGATGCATACTAGCTAGGCTACAGGTTCGTCAACGGTCAAACCAAAAAGAAGAAAGTAAGAAAGTTGGATAATGCTTGGGTGTGCAGCTGCTGCTTGTGTTCCAGCCATTGTTCATAATGCCATATCCAGATCAAGAGTCTGTATCCAAGGATAGGACTGGTCTTTCATCCGTCTAACCAGCCTCCCTAACAATGGCAATCGGATCACTGCTTGTGTCTTTGAAACTTGCCACAGCCATCTGTCAGCGTATCGTAGAAAACTCAAGCGGTCCAAGTTAGACGGGTAACGTACCGTATCACCGTAGCAGTACGACTGTACATGTACCAAAGAACGCTAATATTGGCCATCGTGCATTTCTCCCCTGAGGTGTCAATATCTTCAAGGAAAGAAAAGAGAATTCCCCAACTCCATGAGAAATTGACTTGGGACTCATCAGTCGTAAGCATGACTGATTCAGCCATGTATCATGGTACAGTGGCTGGCTACGTGAATATCTACGGCAATTCTTTCCCTCAATTCCTTTCTGTTCAGTGCTTTCTTGGAGCCAAAAAGATTTACTGGAGAACTCTGGGATTCAGGGAAAGTCTCAAAACGAATGCCAAAAAGCCCCCCGAGACACACTTACGTGGCGGAAAGCTGGGGCGGAGTGATTTCTGAATGACCAGAGTTCTGTTCTAAAATGTCTGGAGGAGAAAGTGATTAAATCAATTTAGCCACAAAGAATCGTTGGAAATAGCTTGCAGCTTGCAGGTTTAAATGATCAGCGTTGAGTGTTTCAAACACACATCTCACCAATACTTATGCAATGAGAGTCTGTTGTACAAAAGACTGCACTGTGGCACTGCTCTGTGCCAGAGTATATATCCTGAGTACTCTACTCCAGAGTAGCAGCGATGATTTATTTGAACGTGGAACCACAATGAATCTTTTCTCTTGCTCGCTGGAACAAACTTGACACTCATTCCAACCAGTGTTGGCAACCACAAGGAGTGGTTGCGAGACTCCACTTCGCTTTCCATTGGCACCTCTCTTTGGATCTTGGAGCTATCTTGGTCTTGATGAGATCATAAATTGAAACCACCAGCCATCAACAAAGCCTCAAAAGCACCAAGAGACTTTCAAGTTCTTTGCATCACAAAACCACCAAAAAATGGCGACCACCACCACCAAACGCTCACGCCGCATCGAGGCCGCCACAGCCCGTCAACGCTCCATGATTTCGGTCGACCTGGGCATGCCCCAATCCGCAGCCGCATTGGTGAGTCTGCATCAAACGACACGACGCAAGTGCCGCGTCAAGGGTGCCTACGTCCACACCAACAGCTGCATCTGGTACGGTCCTCCCAAGGTGGACCTCAAGGGACTCGTGGGCGTCTTTGTGTCGTTGGCCAAACTTCCGCATTTGGAACGCGTCACGGTGGACTTGGACAATCTGGTGCTTCCCGTGACGGCATTGACCATTCTGTTGCGAGATGCTCCTGGGCTGACCGAGTTGACATTGTGTCATTTGGCACTCATGGGCACGGACGAACAGTTTCAGCAATTGGCCGCCGTCATGGAACGCAATGCGACCCAATTGACCCACGTGACACTGGTCCATTGCTACGATGGCACGGCCCGATTGCAACGATCCCTGGTCAACCTACCGGCGTTGGAGCAGATCACACTCAAGGGCACTCGCGTCGCGCCATGGAGCGATGATGGCGCAGTCGATGACAATGGCGAAATGTTGGTCCAGTGGTGCAAAGCACCCAAGCTCAAGCTATTGGAACTGGAGGACAATGCCAACCTCCGAGATGAACATCTGTTGTACCTCTGCGAATATCTTTCTCGACCGGATCTGGAGAGCAACTTGAACGAATTCAAGCTGTCATCCAGTGTGTTGGATGGTGAGGTCGCAGGAAATGCTATCTTGGACATGGCCATGATCAACACCAACATTCACAAGTTGACACTGAAACTCAGTGGTTGCTGGAAATCGTGTGGCGCCAGTGTCGCATCCATGATCTGCGCCCCGAGCAACAATCATCTGCAGAACCTGGTTTTGGGAGTCTATGGAGGACTGCCCAAGACAGTAGTGGCTCGATCCAAAAAGATTTTCAAGGCGCTCGGGTCCAGCAAGTGTCAACTCAAACGCTTGCGTCTTTATTTGGACATGGACTCTGTTCTGGATGGACCCCCCGTCATCAACGAACTGTTTGGATCCGTGGAAAAGGCCCTGCAGTCCAACGACCGACTCAAAGATCTTGTCTTGTACGATGATTGCAACCAGTCAATGAGACTGCCGTCATCCGTGATCACCAAGCTACAATTGAACAAGTCGGGCATCCCTCGTCTGTTGCGCCGAAAGAATACCAATACCAGAAAATTCCAGGCGTCCTTTGTCAAGGCCATTGTGGAGCACAAGGAAGACATCAACACTGTCTTTTACGCTCTGTTGGAAAATCCATCGGTGCTTCTGGCCGGTGCTCCATCATCATTGCCTGCTACTAGTACTACCGACAGTGAAGATTTGTCTTTGGATGCCTGCAGCGACCACACTAGCAACATGATCGAAAGCCCAATGTCTTCTCCAACACGAAACGACGAAAACAGCGGTCCTCATTGGCGACCACAAGCCATACTGGGGCATCCCTTCCGTGACCTCCTGGAGCATCGAAGGCATCTTCAGCAAAAGCACTGCCGGTCGTATCAATCCAATGACAGCAACTGCTCTTCCAACACGATCGTTTGCGCTACCGGAAAGACTCCTGCAGCCTCCTGCAAACCAGACAAACATCATCACCATCGTCTCTTTCCTCGACTACCGGTATCGCTTCACCACTCGCAAGCCTAAGATTAATTCACATGAAGTTTATAACTATTCTTTAAAATTAGAAACCACCCACACTACATTCTTTCTAGCTAGTTAGTCCTCAATAGCTACTCTCTCTCCCGTTGGAATTTTGTATGACAGCAACCAATGCACTTTATCAAAAACCCTCTCTGGCACCACTTTAGCTAGTTGCGATGCCAACTACTGTTGCTTTGACGCCTTTTGCTTGAGTTCCCAAAGCGCAGGTGATTGTCTAAATAATTTCTCTAATGTTTTATCATGTTTCCCTTCTATTTAAATGTACACTTGTGATTATGACTGATCCGTTTCTGTTCTATACACAGCAACAAGACTGGCGCTCTTGGCTGCTGTAGTTCTCCTTGGTCATGGTGCCATTTGCAAGCTCATTGCAAAGGAAGATGTGGGGATACAGGAGGAAGGTGTAGACACCAAGGCCAATCCAGTTCTTATCCAAGCCAGCAATGACAGCATAGGCAATGTTCATAAGGATGGTGATCAAAATTGGGCCAATCCTAAATGTCAGGGCACCGTGAATTCCACAGATGTGACTGATGATGACGGCACTGTAAATAGCAATAAGAGCACCAAGATCATAGGTGTCAAGCATCAAAGCCTTCTTATCCTCTTCTGTTCCATATTTTTCAAAGAGAATCACAACCACAAGGCCAACAATGCTTCCAATCATGCCAATTGTGTCAAGGATGATGACAGCCCTTCTCATGTCACAAAGACAACCCAGGAAAAAGTGACCTTGTTTGCCTTTCTTCAAAGTGTCCACAGGGCTCCCCTTGCTTGAACTGTTGTGTTGTTGTTGTTGCTCATTGTTGATTGATTGATTGATTATTTTTGTGAGCTTGCGGTTGGTCTGTCTTCGGGTGCTCCAAGTTGCTGGCGGGAGTTGTTCACAAAACCCCTTTCCAAGCAGGAATGAATGGAACAGTGACTGGAGACAGCAACCAGTGACTCATCGGACGGGATTGAAACCGGTTCTCACAAAAGATCCAAACAAAAGATCGTGAAGGCAAGCCAAGCCAAGCAAGAAGGACCAAGCAAGAAGGACTTTGTCTTCCCTCTGTCTCCATCACTAAAACCAGTGCGCAACAAAAAGATCCTGACCAGACTTCGCGGAGACAAGCAAGAAGGATTTGAGAGGAGATTGATGGCTTCCCACTGTCTCCATCATAGAAAAGAAGACAAGGTCCGCATTATCTCAGAAATTGCGCACTTCCTCACTCTCGGATCTCACATCTTACCGCACGGTACTCCAAGAAAAGATGGAAGGACTAGAGTCAGGTTTGGGAGAACTTTTGGCAGATTCCAACCCTACAAATAATGAAGCCTCCAACATGGGCCACGACCCACTGTCTCAGTTCCTCTCTGACTGGGCCAAGGCAAAGGAAGCCAAGGACTCCAATGCGTTTTTCTGCACATTGGCAACCGTGACGGAAGATGGAGCTCCAGAGCTTCGGATGCTAGCGTTACGAGGAGTGGACGCAGCCAGGGGGACCTTTTTGATTGAAACTCATGACAGTTCCCCCAAATTCCATCAATTGAAGGCCAACGGCAAGTGGAGTCTCTTGACGTTTTGGAACCAACCGATCATGATGCAATATCGCATCAAAGGCACTGGAATTACGCTGTTGGACGCCACGGAAATGGAAGAACGATTCCAGAAAAAGCCAAAGTCCGCACAACTGTTGCCACTGTACTATGCCAATCATCAGGCACAGAGCAGCGTTCTAAAGGGCGGACGGGAAGAGTTTGTGTCAACAATGAAAGACTTGCTGAACAAGGAGTATGCTGAAAAGCCAGTTCCATTCCAGCCTTCCCTGGTAGGAATCCAATTCAAGCCGGATGTCATTGAGGAATGGCGGGGATCGGCCGCGGATCGATTGCATGAACGATACCGATACGTTTACCAGAAATCAGAAGCCGGGTTGTGGAATAAGGAAACTCTGGTCCCGTGATCCCTGTTGGATCTACAATAACGAAGCCCAAGTAGAGAGTGCTTGCAATTTTCTGATGCAGGATACACGAACCAGAAAACAATCGCGTCGAATCGAATCAGTCTAGATTACTAGGGGGATATTTAGCTATGGAGTGTTGGGTCAGACTGTGGTGGGCTCCACCATCACTGGCACCAGCACAGCCACACAATGAAAAAGACCGTATCACATACATTATCACAATCGTATCACATACATTATCACAATCTTCTCTGGCTACCCACGTTTTCTTTGCATACCCTTATGCCCTTGCGTCCTCTTTTCTCCTGTTTTTTGTTTCGATACGTGCGGGAAGCCGCCGACGGCGACGGCGCTTTTTGGAGCCCAAGCAACGAATGATGGACCACTTCAAGCCGAATGAACGGCTTCCGATGAATTCCATGCTTCTCCTTGAGTTGTTCCATAGCTGCTTGTGCGATTGCGACAGACCGGTGTAAACCAGCATGACATCCATATCCCAAAATGACCACAGCGCCATCATTGCTTGTCGTGCAGGTAGGATCCCACTCAATTGGAGAAAGCTCTCGGGGTGAGTTTCCCTCGGGGCGGTCGCCATTTTCACAATTATTCACGGCTTCATTTGTTTCCTCTTTGTCTGCTAGCTGTGAAATAGAGTCCAGAACGAACTGAACGCCTCTGTTGATCAACTCCTGTGCTGCTGCATCTTTCATCACATCTTTGGCAAGATCCTTGTTCAACCCTGTATAAAGTTTTCGGGAACGAGCTGTTCCTGGGTTGGGAATACCACAGCAGTCCAAGACCATTTGACGTTGGCTTTGCGCTGGAGGCTTGCCGTTCTTGTACCCAAACGTCTCGATCCGAACATGGAGAGTCCGTCTGGGCGATCTAGGAGATGCGGGAATATCCATGTCGATGGCAGCATCACTGCAGCCGATGTCAGAGGTCTCAAAGCTCGTGCTGTCCATATTGATTACTTTTCGCTGAAGTCTTTTCCAGTGTGGGGGGTGGGCGTGTGGATGCTTCCCCCTTGCTCCTTTTGTTGTGGTGCTTGAGGACAAGGCTCGCAGGGATCATCCAATGCCGGAAGGATGCGGGACTGATGCACGTCTGATTGAAACAGTAGGACACCCTCGTTCGCAGCATCCTTCTCTCGTTCAACAGGCTGGGAGAAGCAAGTACTGCAAGGGGTCCAGATTCGGGTAGTTACCCACGGAAGCCAGCAGGTGACCTGGCTCAGGAAACCAAGTAGTTCTGCAATAGGAGAACAGTGCTGACCTACCGGTAGTATATCTTTGCAGGGGCCCAAAAGGTGATACATGTACCAGTAAACGTAAATGTAACTCCAATAGATGTCCCCAGCTCGAGGTGGGCTACATGTCAATAGGACGTACCTTTAGCTAGAAAGATAAAGTAGTAGCTATGTTCGTGAGTGTAATGATCAGCTTCTAAGTAAGTTGTGTATCTGTTGAAATGCTACGGCGTACAAAGCTGCATTTGGTGCATCCCTCGCTTCGAAATGCCACCGTCTAGTCAAAGCAAGAGGGAAAGACTGGGTTGTACTCTCGTAAGTTAAAATATGGATCTGGGTCGTAGCTTGGACTGAATTGTGGTTGGCATGGATCATACTCCACCCTTCCATCCTGGGCACTATTACATTTCGAGGGGCTACTAGAGCTGACTACATCCAGGCTGCGCATTTGGTTCGGTTCGCGTAGCTTCTTTACAGACACTTTCCCCTCCATTTGGCTCCATTGGTTACTCGTGCCTCCATCTTTTTTCTGACAAGTCTGGTCAATTTTGAAGGTGACTTTCTTGACCGACGGGAGAGGTCCGTCTTTGCTTCTTTTTGCACCCGCTGAGGAGGCCTCTCGCGTGGCTTTTCTCTTGCTTCTATGGCTCTGGCTTGGTGCGGAGGACTCATAGCATGGCGACATCTTACCCGATACGACGGATGGATTGGTGGCAGTGTACGCAGTTCCGGCATAGCAAGGGGAGAACACCTGGAGCTTATTAGAGACACCCGCCACAGGATTGTATGCAGGGCTCTTTGGAGTGTAAGCCGGGCTCATGGGAGAAAACATTCGGACACCGACCACAGGGTTTGAAGTGTAAACCGGGCTCATGGGAGACAACGTCGCGCCCCTCTGGGCTCCCACTGCGGGGTTGTATGCAGGGCTCTTTGGAGTGTAAACCGGGCTCATGGGAGAGAACGAAGAACCAGAACGGTACGAAGGCGAATACAATGCGCTTGTGGAAGCCTCTGGTCGGTAGACCGGGCTGGTTGGCTGCCTTGAATCGAGGTACAGTGGCGTTTTGGGAGTCGCATCAACGACATTCTGATAAGCCGGGGTCCTCACTCGGTGGGAAGAATAAGCACGACGCGGATCAAAAGTGCCACGACGAGAGGATTGCTGGTTGTGCGAGCGAACCCCGGCTCCACCGGCAGCGCGGTTTTGAGGGCGTTGCCCCCTTGGGTCAGTTCGCCTTCCGCCGTGAATCCTACCGCTACAGATACTAGAGCTATGATAACTTTTATTTCCCCCGACGCTACCGTACACACTCCGGCCACCAAAAGAGGGCACGTCTACCATGGCCTCCACCTTGTCGATGTCTATCCCGCTGTTGGCGATTACGTCGTCAATGGCGTCTCTGCCGTTCCCAACGCTGAGCCTGCTTCCGTGAACGATCCTGTCCTCTTCTTGTTTAATTCTGGATATCATGGAGCCCAACATGGTTGCTTTTGGTGTTTCTGATTGGAGTTTGGGTTGATTTTCCTTTCACGTCTTTGAGGTCAAAAATTTATGAGAACAAACAGTACAAAAGAGGAGATGTTTCAAACGTACCTCAATGTTTCAGACGTGGAGCTGAGTTCCACGGAGCCAACCAAACGTGGAACAGGACACCTACTAGAGGGCAGACCGTGGTGTGTAATTGGCTACAAGTACCGATACCAGCGCCGGTCACACACCACCAATCAGCTACTCTGCTAGGACCAGCTCGAGGATGTCACCTTAGATTGTCCCCGGCTTGGGTCTGATCCACAATATGTGTTCTGTATGTTTAACCCTTTGTGAGTTCCAACAGGATTTCCAACAGAAGGATTTCCAGACTATCATCCACCGCACCGGTAGTTTAATTAAAATTGAAAGGCGGGAACACTATGTTTACTTAGTTTACATCTTTCGAAAGATCACCATGTTGTATCCAATCTTTCCTTCCACAGTCAGCTTTTGGCGATATTTGGATCCCATCCAGCCTTGATGATTCTTTTGTTTATCGGGGTCCAGCGATGGTACCTTGTTGCGGTAATTGAGTTCCACCACTCGATACTCGGCCAACAAATCTCTGGATTCCACCAACGTCAATCCAACCCGTCGGGCCATTTGATTCATCTCTGTCACGGTATAGAGGGAGTTGGCCAACCAAGATCGGGCAAAGAGGTCCACGTCCTCGTCGTCTCGACTGGCACCTGGTTGCAAAAAGTCGTCAATGAGAACCACCATCCCATGTTTGGGCTTTAAACGAGTAGCCCAAGCGCGAAGTGTTTTCTGCATATCCGTCGAGTGAATGGCGGCTTCAATGCTGTAAATGACATCCAATGTTGGTGTGTCGTCGTTGATGATGTTGTCGTAACTGTCTAACTTGATTTGGAAGCGATGAGTCGGGAGTGTGGTCTGAATGAATTTGGCCTGTTCTTCCGACAACGTACGTCCTTGCAGCTTCCATGCGGGTTGTTTGGCTTCCATCCACATTAAGGCACTGCCCAATCCACACCCGGCATCGAGAACTTCTAGTGGTGCCGATTCCGCACTCGTCTTTGTGGATTTTTGATAATGTTTCAAGATTCCTTCGTGAATCAATTCGTAGTGCGTTTCCGTCGATCTTTTATCGCCCAGCCAGCGATGAACGGCATAGCTGGCCACATCATTTGGATTTCTCTTGTGATCATTTTCGAGATCGTTGTAATACTTGTTCACATCGCCACCATACCACTTCCAATCTTTATCCTTTGCGGCATTGGAAGAATCCAAATTCCGGCGAGACAAAAGTGTATTCGAGCCTTCCCCCGAACATCGCTGCAAGGTTTTCTCGACGGCAGTCCGATCTGTATTGTCAATTGTGAGAGGCAAGTCTTTAAAATTTTGTCGTATCCGCGGCCCCAACTGTCTCCCAATTCCCACGGTCCATTCCGACAAGGAACAAGTGGCATGATAATAGTCGTGTGGGAACCAAATGACATCACCCGGTCCCTGAATAGTAGTTTTTATGGCTCCCTTTGGCAGTGGTTCTTTTCCATTCAAATAATCACAGGCATTGACTTTCACAGGTCGTTTGGCGGTGGGTGGCAAGAACCACCACACTTTGTAGCCCACGGCTTGGGCAATCCAGCTTTCACCGTGTTTATGGAATTCGTGCGATTGTCCTTTGGTCATGGTGGACAAGATGGAAAACGAGTCAATGTGTTGTACGACGGGAGGAATATCAAAGGGCAGTTTTTCGCCGGCTTGTCCAAAGAGGGCTCTATTTTCCTTGTCATTGGTAAATGCCAGCAGCGACTTGCGTGGATGGGTTTTATTTCCCGCAATGAAATTCCACAAATCCCCGAATTGCGCCACACAAGTTTCGTCCTTGACTTGCACGTACTTGTCCTTGATGTAGTACGGGATTGTACTGTAGGCTTTGAGAAAGGCTCGTTCGGATTTCCAACTGTCACTGGGAGGTTCCCACACTCCTCGCAGCACTACGGGTTGTCGTGTTCCAACACCCTTGGGGTCTTGCGCATTGTGGAATTCGGCAATCTGATTTTCCACCAAGGAAAAGAGCTGCTCTTCGGAACTTGCATTGTACGCCACCACCATGACATTGGTAGTAGTAGTAGTATGGACAATCTCTTTTTCTGACGAGACAACAACAGCTTTGGAAGAGGAAGACACGGGCTGTTGCTGTTGTTGTTGCTGTTGCTCACCATTGCTATTGCTAGATTGCTGCAGTAACCGTTGGAGCACTTCGTCGGGAGTGGCCAGTAGAGAGTTCTCGTTTGTCATTGCATCGCGATCATCACGGTGGCTACGATTGACCTCTCGAATGGCCGACCACACAATGCCAGCCACAATCACGGCCCATAGAACCGACGTGGCTCGGATGCCTTTCATGCCTCCTCGTTGTCGAGGATGTTTCGTAGGGAGTGTCATGGTACTTCCTCTTTCTCTTTCCAGAATAGAAGTGAATGTTGGAGGTTGTGTTGGAAGTGATATGAACTTGGTGTTGGAACGATGTCGCGCAACTCAATCGTCGCGTTTTGGCCAAACGGAAGATGAAATTTTGTCCGCAAAACGAAAAAAGGTAAAAAATGAGAACCCCATTGAAATCTCCACAAGGGTTAGAGATGTTCACTCTCTCCAAACAACGCCACAGAGCGACAATTGACAGCGGCTCCCCATTCCATTGATCCCTTGGCTGTCGCAACAATGGCGAGACCTTCCTCTGGTGGTGGCACCAGCGGCATGGGGGAACTGTCCTTTCCCGACAAGGACACTGTGTATCTCAAGCCAATCCTGTTGGCCAAACGACAACAATGGCGTCGGACACATCCACTTTGGTCACTGAGCTTTCCAGTCTCTTCCACCCTGTTGTGGTGTTGCGGTCTGGCACTGTTGCTACACCCACTAATGGTCTTGCTGTTGCGAAAATACAAGGAGGACGACTGGCATGAAATCCTGTTGGAAGAACAAGGCGGTGAAACAACAACCAAGATGATACTGAGAGCTGCCGTCTCGGCTCTGGATGCACTGGCGGTGGGGTTGCTGGATGGGAGCCCGCGAATTGCGGCGGCGTCTCTCTTTCTATACACGTCAATTTGCTCGGGATATCTGGCCTCTGCGGCTTGGAAGAGTGGAACAATCAAGGGGCAACCAACAATCAAACAGGATTGACAGGGATTTCTCGAGAAAATTGGAAAATCCATCCTGTAGTTGCAACAGTCAAATGGTTGGGACAGCGCAGCGCCATGGAAGCAAGATGAGCGTCAGACCAAGTTTATTTATTCAACAAAACTGACAACGCTGGGTTTTCGGCTTGTACGATTTGGTCTGGACGCATCCCAGATGAGAAATGTGCTTTTGCGGAATCAAATCATTCCGTCTACGCGGGCATCTCCGTTTTGTGGGTGTGATTTTGACTGTGCGTGAGCGTCCCAATGCATGTTTCTTGGGTGGAGAAAACAAGACCGTGGCGGGTTTAGATTTTTGACGAGCAGTACGTACCGTAGTAACTTGTTCATTGGGAAGAAACAAAGCTAGCTAATAAAGCACCAATAACTGAATGGCCAGCTTCCTTTGGAGCAAAAGAGAAGTATCTGTTGCTGAGGTTCTTCTCATTTCTTGCGCCATGGCTTTCTTATTAAATTCGCAACACAAATTACTGATTGGTTGTTCCAGACCGTACGTGCGGTAGTGATGTTGCGGGTCACTGAAGGTAACTTTGCACCCCACCACTCCAAGAACCAAGGAGTATCAAAGAGAGTTTGGAGACCATTGACAAATCCAACGTTGTGCCGGTATTATTGAATGTTTGGCTGATCTTCCAAATGGAAGCTTGGATCTTCCTCTCGGCAGCACCTAACTCTGACCCACTCCAGACCCCGGTCCTGGACCTTCGCTGAAGGTAACTTTACCCCCAGCCATCACTCCAAGAACCAAGGAGCATCAAAGAGAGTTTCGAGACCAATTGGCTGACAAATCCAGCGTACCGTATTGGTACAGTCGTGCCGTACTTGGGCAATCGACTTATTAGGGCAGGAAGGTTCGGTCTGAGGCCAGCATACAGTGGTAGAGTAAGGTAGATCTTTGGACGCACCTTTGACCATCACCACCAGGCAGCAAAATTCAAAAAGCAGCACCAGGACACCTCCGGCTCCAAACACCTCCAAAATGCCTGCCATTACTACAGCTGGTAGTATTATACTGGCAGTCAAGATGCCACCAACGACAGCAACTCTACTGTAGCACAAGTTTACCTCCAATAATGGTATCCAAAAAGCGTCGCTGCCATCAAATCCCAGCATGAAAAAGCACCAAGGAACGAAGTACCGCCCGTCATGTTCCGTGACCATGACAAAAGGGCTGGGAATAGTACCAATGGTGCTTCCAGAAAAGGGAAAAGAGACAGCACCAAGGAAGCACCAAGGAACGAAGTACCGCTCGTCATGTTGATGCCGCAGCATGTTGATACTGCAGCAGTGGAGTTGTAGGAAGTAAGACAATTGATGATCTCCACAAAAGAGTACTGCTCACTGCTTCCACTCATTCATCATGACAACAATGCAAACAACAATGCAACCCTTCACGACCAAACCGAGAACAGTTGCTAGATGTGTCAAATTGCGAGTGACTAAATTTCCTGGGCTGTCAGCAGTAAGAGACTGCTGACGATGGGTGACTTACCCTTAAAAAGAAAACATTCCCGAGTTGGCATGGCTTTCAGTGTGTTAAGTGCAGGTGTTGTTGAAATTTTGTTGGTGGGATTTCACTTTGCAATAGGAACCTGCATGCCATCAGTACTGTATGAGACTTGTTGCCGTCTATGAGACTTGTTGCCGTCGCAGGAGAATTGTTGCCGTCGCAGAGAATTGTTGCCGTCGCGGAGAATTGTTGCCGTCGCAAGGAGAATTGTTGCCGTCGCAGGAGATTTGTTGCCGTCGCAGGAGAATTGTTGCCGTCGCAGGAAATTGTTGCGTCGCAGGAGAATTGTTGCCGTTGCAGGAGAATTGTTGCTGTGCTGGATCATGTTGCCGTCGTCTTGCAGTCTGGAGATCTAACAGCACTAGCATCGTTGAGCCAATTGTGCCTCCTCTGGTGAGCCTGTAGCTGTGTCCCAGCCTGTAGCGTAGCTGTCAGCCTTGTCCCAGCCTGTAGCTACAGCTATAATAGCTGTAGCTTGTAGCTGTCGTCCCAGCCTGTAGCTGTTTTCCCAGCCTGTAGCCGTTGTACTGTATATGTATCACTTATCACCCAGTAATATTCCATTCCACCGTAATCCACCGTTTTCCTAGAGGAATCATTGAGCTTTGTAGCGTCTCACTAGCTTTTTAAAAAGGGGTTTTAAGGAAACTGTTAAATCACCTTGTGCTCTTGTGGAATCTTTGGACACTTCAAACCATAACCAAATGTGATGGTTTAAAGTTCGTAACATTGTTTTCTTTCCCTGAATGCTAATTAATTACTAGTGCATGCTTTAACACACCAAAAGCACTTCAAGAAGGCCTCTTAATTGCAGAATCAGCTTTTGTACTCTTTGCCCTATTCAAAAAAGCACAAAGTAAATTGCACGAGCACCCCCAGACCCTGTATGTTTAAATCGTGAGTGACCTCACGAATCGAATTGATTGATTGTTCTGTCGAATCTTCAATCGATATTATTTGACTGTCACTCTCGATTCGATTCGACTTCAGCAGATCTTCGATCTTTATATATATATATAAGGGGGTTTAGAGTAGGGAATAGCTACGGAAGCCAGCCGGGCCAGGCTTAAGCAAAGAACAGTCGAAATTCAGGACTAGGTTCTGTGGGATCAGGGGCAAGAAATGGAGGACCATTACGGGGGGCAAAGGGTTTGGCTTTGCGGGACCCACGGAGACATAAATGGGTAGCTTCACAAGGGCAATGAGATCGGTCATGAAGAACATCATTTGAGAGTAGAAAATTGAGTTTTGGAGGCAGTAGCAGAAGCAAGGCGTTGTAAAGAGTCTTGGCTTGAGGGGCAACATGCCATCCACTGAAACAACAAAGGGTGGAAGGAAGCGCGATTGGACTCGCACGCCCTTTATATTTGGAAATTTGTCGCGTTCTTGTTGGGTTAAAACTTTGACGGGATTTTTGTTGCGGTAAGAGGCACAGTCCAAATCAGTACACGTACGTCAATAATAGCTGTATACCTCGTTCAAACAAGCCGGAATAGAAAGATCACCACGTAAGAGCTCGGGGGCTGGAGGGGGATTGAGAGGGGGGGGGAAGGGGAGGTAAGGTAGAAATTGGGTGACCGGCAGGGATTAGGGCGGGAACAGAGGGAAGGGTGGTTCTGACGGGACGCTAAGGAACCAAAGCATTCACATGCAATAGAACCAAGTTCATTGCGGTTTCATTATGGCGACGGATGTTAAGCCGCCGCGTTTGCAATCCAGAGCATGTGGAACGCTGAGGGACCAGTACAGCCATCACAAAGCTGGAAGGCTGGAAGAGCTGGGGGGTAAGACCGAACCGGAGAAAGAGGCATCACGCCATTCTTGAGCAGAGAGGTGAGTGCGTTGGCAATATCGGGCATGACTGCAAGCCAGGAGCCAGTGCAACGACTGCGATTGAGGCGGACTGCTCAGCCGGAGTGAGAGTGGCTTGATGGGTCTCGAAAGCCGCTTGGTAGGCGTCGTGATGGCGTTTGGTGGCGCTGATACGACCTTCTGTGAGGGCTGTGCGATGGTCTTCAATTCTGAAGGGATGACGTGGGGGCTCAATGAAGGGGTGGCAGGGTCGTGGAGAGGGCTAGGGGGGATGGGAATTAAAGGCAAGGGGGCAAGCAGGGGTCTTTGGATCTTTTCTTTCATGTTTCACCTCCTGCGTCGGTCTCTGGACTGCAGTGCGAACTGTTGTTGTTGCTTCTATCCTTCGCCTCCATAGCAGCAATGGCGTTCCTCCTTCCTATGCTGTTGTTGATACTTTGCCTTTTTTCATGGTTGCCTTTGGCGTCTACGACAGCGACTGACAACTACAATTTACTCCTGAATCGATCACCCAGCAGTCTCCGCAACGAGTACTGGGTACTCCGTCACGGTCAGTCGCAAGCCAATGTTGCCAAGCTGATTGCCTCTTCACCCGAAATTGCTTGCCAGAAATATGGGCTCTCCGACGTTGGCAAAGAACAGGCTGCCCTCGCGGGAGACGAGGCTGTAGAAGCGTTCCACGAGCGCAATACACGGGAACCTCGATTGCAAGCAGTGGTGTTGCTCAGTTCCGATCTGCTGAGGGCCAAAGAAACTGCTGAAATTGTCCGAGACAAGCTGATACTTGCCGGAATCCCGTTGCTTTACCAGAATGTTGGAGAACCCAGAATTGACAAGGGCTTGGCCATGGAAACCCGGTTACGAGAACGATGGTTTGGAGAATGGGATGAAACCTCGGATACCAACTATCCGAATGTGTGGAAAGATGATGCCGAAGATGCGGATCACACCATCAAGGGAGTGGAATCGGTCAATCAAGTTGTATCCCGAAGCACAAAGTGCATCTGTGATTGGGATGAGAGGTTAGAACGGTGCATGGTGATTTGCGTGGCACATGGGGACGTTCTCCAAATCATGCAAACCGGCTTTGCCAAAATGGATCCCACAAAGCATAGGACTTTGGAACACTTGGAAACTGCAAAACTGAGGAGGTTGGAATTGAAAGAGTAATAAGTATTGCAATACGGTACATGAAAAGCAGGCAGCTCACAAAGATCACCTGCACTGAAAAGAAACTGGATGAGATTTCTTCAGCTAGTGGCAGTCCTAGCTTTACCGCAATTGGACTGAGATAGCTAGCTGCATGTACTACCGGAACTGTACCTTCCGTCGGCTCCTCGAACCTCCTTTTTGGAGGAGAGAGGCACGCATCTTCATGGTTGTGTTGCTTTCCTCTGATAGAATAAGAATGCGAGCTGGCTTTGTGTAGGAATAGTTTGAGGAAGAACTGTTTCCAGCCCAGTAGGTGCCCATGATTTAGAGTGCTAGCTAGCTGACAGACCGGTCAATTCCACGGGCTGGAGACCGTAGACCGGTCACTGCCGAATGGGCGGATGTGGTATTTAGTTGAGGTAACTACGAAGCGTTGCGTCCCACCACTAGAGTTTGGCAGACAATCGTTCCCTCCAAAGATCACTCACAGCGGCAAAGGGAATGAACGACCAGCTTCTAGCTAGCTGGTATGTGCCTCTTTTTCCAATTTGAATGACCAAGGGATTGTTCCAGCCTAGCCCTGTGGCTATTTCACGCAACCTCCTGTTGTTGCCTTATACAGCCCCTCTCCCGTTGCGCTGCTGTCTCAGTCTTCCATGCGGGCATCGACCAGGAATATTCAATCATTCATCATCGAGACGGACTATGCACCGCTAGCTAGTTCGTCACATGTCTGGCTGATTGTTGCCTGGAGTTTTATCTTCCAATCGCTGAGACTTTGCCATGTTCAAGCTGTCCTCCCTGTTGGTCTCTCACCGCCCAGAAGCTGAGAGCCTTCAGATGCATTGATCTCAAGTGCTTATGCAGGAGCCATCGTTCGGCCCAGCTATGCAGAGTTCGGCACCTCAGAGCGCCAGTGAAGGCCTCACCAACAGAGCGATCGCCGAGGCTTTTTGGGGACAACCGTGCAGTCGACTTCACCGGTGGCCCTTGACTCTCGCCAAGATGATCTGACAATCTCAGTTTTCAGTCCGTAGATTTGTCTGAGCTGACTACAATTGGGTCATACTCAATTCTGACAGTTGCGCTCGTACCGTACAGGAAAGAGCGAATCCCCGGCGTGTCACTGTCGCTTCAACTGCAGTAAGCTCACTTCATCCAGTAAGCCCACTTCACTTTGATGTAGGGAGCGTTGCTTCACTGAGACTCAACATCGTGCTAGATTTGCATCACTCAACGGGCTTGTCGCGAGGAAGTCTCAAGCAACGCAGCAACATGAGAAGAAAGGCCAACTCCAGTGACGATGCTCCTGATCATCCCATTGGTGGGTGTAGACAACACAGAGAGATCATCAGGTCAGGCAGGCAGGCAGGCGGATGTCGAGCAAACCTTCCAGGCACCATTGGAAGCACGAAACAGGCGGCGTTGAACATGAATTCCTCCACGCCGAGAAGGCTGGAAGGACAGCCACCGGGGTTCAAACACGCAGCAAGGATGGATGGTACCGGTAGAGGCCCACATACTGCACCGTCATCCAGAAGTCACCAAAGTGGCATAATGCGGTCCATCGCAGGCGCACACCATTTCCACGATGCGCTGGTGGAGATGCCTTGACCAAGAACTGCATGAGAAACGGGGCACGCGAATCGAATCAGTGAAGGGATGTGTGTCGAGGAACCGGATGGCTTTGTTGGTTGCTTGCAGTTGTTGCCCCCGGGTTGGAGCAATGGGTCCCGGCGCGGAAGCTGAGCAGTTCTCCAGTTGCCTCGGGCTCAACTTAGGCAGCTGACCCTCAGAACTGGCAGGCCTTGACTTGATGGCAAGTTGATTACAGGGGGCCGAAAAGCGATGACAAGATCCGGATTTGCATGGTTCGTTGGCTTGGGATCTTGCTAGCTTGAGGTCCAACTTTCACCTCGGTCCCCAGACAAAAAAGATCGACCATGGCGGACCTTCAAAGACAGATAGATTTGAGAAGGGGGGGCAATCGACGGGTGCGCGAGGTCCTGCGATCCGGATTGGTACTAATACTCGTGATGCAACTCATGCAATGGTGATGTGGGCACAAAAGCTGTTTACCGGAACTTGAGAGGCGCTGGCTGGTGATTGAGCAATGACCTGCCAGAAGAATTTTTTTGTTTTCTGATGCGGTCTGGAACCATAAGTACCTAGTAGGGTTAGGTAGAGTTAAGGCTGAGTGTTTCGGTGAAACATTGGGTGTCCAGCCTCTAAGTCATATAGTTCGTTGGAACTTCACAATGCAAGTCTGATAATGAAAAGGCGTCGCTGGAGGAGCTGCTGGACATGAAAAAGCTGTAAATTTCGAGTCCAAATCCAAAGCAACGAAACCTTTTTGTGCCAGCACCGGTCCCAGCGGTCAGCGGTACCCTCCAGAATCCAGATACCGGGTAGCCCCCAAGACAAAAGAGGTAAAGAGTAAAGAGGTAGCAACATTTTTTCCGCCCACAGGGAAGGTTTCACGGAGAACAGCACTCACTCTTCGGCTCGACTCCGGTCCCCTTCATCGAAACCTCAAGGACCCCGGTCCTCTTCATCGAAACCCCAAGGGCACACAACCATGCTAGGCCGGTACGAATAACTTGTCTAGAGGTCCAATTCCAATGGATAGGTCCATTCACCCACGAGACACAGGTAGGCTACGTCCCAGTTGCATCCTCGAAACGCATGCTGTGCTGGGATCGTCATGGGTTGGATGATGATTGTAGAAGCATTGCCTGTGCAGAGCAGGTCATCTCCAGCCGTTTCGTTCTGCCCTCATACTAGCTGTCTTTGAGGTATGCAATGGGGTTGTACATCTTGCAGTCATCTCACATCCTTGCTCTGCTTTGTGCTTGCCATCCAAACCTGTATTCCACATGCCAATGCCGTCTTCTTCTCCTGGACTTGAAGATATATTATGTGGAAAGTCCAGGTAAGGGTGGTTCTATGGGTTCCAATCTGCTTTGTGCCGCCATTCTCACGCCTCTGATTCGATTCATGCAATGCCCTCAACACTTCAGGAGCTGTGTGAACCACATTGGCTCCAAACGGTACCGAGAATACTTGGATACCTATCGTGGCAGGTATGCTCAGGCGGCCAACAAGGTAGGTTTGGTTTTGGTTCTTCAGTGATATCAAATGGTCAGGTGCTTGAAGAAATAAATGTGGCCTCATGGCTTGTTTGTCGTATGTATTCCCGTTTATACCGAACGCTGCGAAGCACCACAAGATGCTCCTGATCAAGGAGATATACGAAAACCTGGTGCCAACATGTCGGTTCCTTACGTTCAACAAGCAACGGAACCAATGGGAGGAGGTATGATACGACCTGATTCGATTGCTTGCTGCCTTTTTACTGCTATTTTGTCCTCGATTTCTCAATCTCACATCGCTGCCTGTTGTTGTGCTCTTCTTTCGTTGACGTTGGCCATAGTTGAGTGCCAACAAAGCCAGAGATAAGGTATGGTTAAGTGACCCGATTGATGTTGACTCAAAATGAACAAGCCATGGTCTCTGACTCTTCTCATTCTCGGTCTCGCTTCTTCTGCTGAGGGTAGATTGGCCATGCCTTGAGGCATGCCAACGCCACCAGGGAAGAGCCAATAGATGAACCGGATATAGAAGCCATATCGTCTCGCATGCACCCAGCACATGTTGCCATGCAAGAGGCCAGAAAAGGAGCTAGCAGTGGGGGGTCCAGTAATTCTCCCCCACCTGATGCAACGATGCAGTCCAAAATTGCGGCTGTGCATCCTCCTGCTGCCGAGGCGAAACCACCACCGGTGGCGCAACAACTGGCACCGCCCATGGGGGATACCCAAGCAAATTCAGTTGTCCCGAGTGAAGCTCAAATGAGTGGTCTGACGGCAGCTACCACAGTAGTGCCTCCATTTGCCTCCCAGCCGATGACTGGAATGATACATCCATCGGCTCCGGGGGGAACACAGCAGCAAAATTTTCAGCACTTGGCTATCGCTTCGACACTGCAACAGCCATTACCTGCTGTTGGCGACACAAAACAACCCGCAGTTGAATCCAAAGCTGTGGTAGCTGGTCCGGCACGGGGAGCCACCGCTGTGTCGGCAACAACGGGAAACCAACCAACCGGTGCTGCAGCAGCAGGGACCCAACCATCTGTTAAGCCAGCAGCTCAATCCTCAGTGGAAAGCACCCAGTCGAATATTGGGTGGGTTATTCCCCATCCGCAGCAGGAATGGCAACATACTGTTAACCCAACAGTGGCGGCAATGCCGCCCCCGGCCCCTTTGTTTCCTGGCGGTCAAACCTTGCCAGTTGCATCCCTCCAGAAAGGACAACATCTGACTGTTGAAACATCGGGAGTATTGCCATCAGCAGCTTCAACCAATACGGCGAGACAACTACCGTCTATTCCGCCCGTGGCTCCAGGTCCGCAACAGGCACCAGTGGGACACCAGCAAAGACCACTTGGCATGTTTTTCCCCTTGGATATGACGACACCCGGGACACAAGGCACCGCTGTCGCTGCAACAGCTCCTGCTGTTGGTGGATCCACTACACCGAGTGAAAGTGAACGCACTGTAGTCCGGAAGCTGACAACTCGGCAGCCAGAAAGGGAGACTACAGATTCATCCGGGTCTTCCATTGGTTCTTCTCTGACTGCAGGAGGACGTCCACCACCTTATGGACCTCATGTGGCGCAGCCCAATCTTGGTTCGGCGACGCAAACTGTGGCGGTAAGTGATGATGGCGGTGGGGTTCTTCCTTTGACGGATGATCCATCATGGGTCGCAGCGTTCACTGGCAGGGCAACCCAAAGCAGCCATAGAATCATAACTTCTGAAGCTAAGTTCACCAGCTTTTCGTTTTTCTATCACTCTTTGACACTTGCCCGTTCCTCCAGCCGCCAGGTCCAAAAGCAGCCGCAATACAAGGAAAAGCTCCAGGTTCCTCTGATGCTGGCTCTGGGTTGGAAAGGATACTGACAGAACCTATTCAGGATTGGGACGAGAGCACCGAGACCAAGACCCCGTCACCGCCAGAGGCAGCAAAACAGTCCAAAGGGAGTTCCTCTGCATCCTCGTCCTCGACCCAACCAACTCCAAAAACGCAGCAGCGGAAAAAGAAATAACGAGAAATACCCAGGACTTAACAAGACTTCGCCGCTAAGGTCCCCTTAACGGAAGCAAAGCCCCTCCAAGCTACCAGTACTAGTACAGATTTCGAGCTCCTCCCTCCTCCCATAAAAACCATAGGCGAGATAACTGAAGGTCTCCATGGCGGCAATCCATCCAATCAACAACAAATTCATCAAACACCCATGCACACAACCTGCACTTTCGGTGGCTGCTACTCTTTGTGTTGGCACAGCTTCTTCACAGAAGATGCCCTGTCTTCCGTGCCTTTTTAGGGCCTTTTTAAATCTCTTGTCGCGCAGATTCAATTAGAGTTTGAGTGAAGCTTCCATTTACACGGTTGCGGCCCTTTGGTTGGAAGCAGCAAGCTAGCAAGCAACAAAAGTCTTCGTTTTGGATTGGACGAGGTCTTGACATGTTTATATGGCTTGCTTCGCAGCCTTCCTGCGGTTGCCATGGAGCCCCATCCACGCCATAGGCTCACAAATGGGCAGAGGCCATGGCGATCAGGGCAACGTGACCTTGGAGGGTTTTCTAAACGACAACTCCGCCATTTCCATTTCAGGATGACGGAGCTGCGGACGACGTGCCCAGATAGTGCCAGATAGGGAACCCAGTGCTTTGTGATGGGAACATGGTGCAAAGCAACAAGGAAAGGAAAACCTGAACGAGAGTGATTCTCGCTGGTTGGACAGCCGATGGCATCCTCTCCTGCCACTTCAACCCCATCCGTCAACGGTTTCTCGAGCTAGAGTGAGCGCCCATACCCCACCTCTTTCTTTTGGCTGCATCCTTGATGGATCGGACGAGACAAGCTTCAACCCGTCTATAGTAACCTTCATCATCCTGGTCTATGGACACCTTCGCAAGAAGAACCCAAATGGTGGCGCCAACACAAACGAAGCGGCGTGCTGAAAATCAAGCATGGCAAAGGACGCATCGCATCTTTCCCACGGACAACGCTGCGCTACGAAGCTGGATTCGATTCATCACTGCATCAAGTTGCGGGCATGGCAAACTTTCGAAATAATAAGCTACAACACTGCGACAAATGTGACAACCAAGCTGGGTTTGATACACTTCAAAATAGCTAAAACAATCAACATCGAATCCAGAGACGCAACGCAACACAGGTTGCATGTCTTTTTATTAGTTTCTTGAAATATATATCCATGAAATCACCATACAAAGTCGTCAAAGCCGCCACCATAGTCCTCAAAGCCATTGTCGTCATCTTCCACTACCGGTTCTGGGTTTGATTCGGTATAGTCATCGTCATCATGGCCAGAGCTATCATCATCATCTACATGGCCAGAGCTATCATCATCTTCTTCTTCATGGCCAGTGCTATCATCGTCTTGTTCACGCCCAGAGCTATCATCATCTTCTTCGTGGCCAGAGTCGTCGTCATCTTCTCCATGCCCAGAGCTACCATCATCGTCTTCGTCGTAACCAGAGCTTTCGTCATCTTCTTCTTCGTGGCCAGAATCATCGTCGTGGACTTCTGGCTCTGGGGTTGACTCAGTGTAGTCATCATCGTGACGGTCGGAGCCATCATCATCATCTGTTGCTGGTTCTGGGGTTGATTCAGGAGTTGGTTCTGGCGTTGATTCAGTGTCATCATCATCGCCTGTGCCATCATCATCTGTTGCCGGTTCTGGGGTTGACTCAGGAGTTGTTTCTTGGGTTGATTCAGTGTTGTCCTCAACATCATTGCCCGTGCTATCATCATCTGTTGCTGGTTCTGGGGTTGGTGCTGGGGTGGATTCAGGAGTTGCATCTGTGTGGCCAGTGTGGCCAGACTTATTATCATCTAATGGTAGCCATGAAGTTGGTTCTGGAGTAGGCTCTGGTGCGGGCTCAAAGGTAGGTTGTGGCGTACTTTCACAACCCGATGGGCACATTGGGTAGTCATCATGATGAAAACAAGTACAAAACTTAATTTCTTGTTCTGTGAATTCTGGTGTCGGCTCTGGCGTGGACTGCGATATGCAGTAGTCGCAGTAGGGTAAGTTGTCTTCCACGCAGCTACATCTGCAGTAGTCACAATAGGGTAAGTTGTCTTCGATGCAGCTACATGGAGGCTCGTGGGTGACTTCTGGTGTTGCTCTGGGTGGACTGTTGCAGTATCACAATAGGGTAAGTTGTCTTCGATGCAGCTACATCTGCAGAGTCACAATAGGGTAAGTTTCTTCGATGCAGCTACATGGAGGCTCGTGGTGACTTCTGGTGTTGTCTCTGGGGTGGACTGTATGCAGTAACCGCAATAGGGTAAGTTGTCTTCGATGCAGCTACATCTGCAGGAGTCGCAGTAGGGTAAGTTGTCTTCGATGCAGCTACATGGAGGCTCGTGGGTGACTTCTGGTGTTGGCTCTGGTGTGGACTGCGATATGCAGTAATCACAATAGGGTAAGTTGTCTTCGATGCAGCTACATCTGCAGGAGTCACAGTAGGGTAAGTTGTCTTCGATGCAGCTACATGGAGGCTCGTGGGTGACTTCTGGTGTTGGCTCTGGAGTGGACTGTTTGCAGTAATCGCAATAGGGTAAGTTGTCTTCGATGCAGCTACATCTGCAGGAGTCACAATAGGGTAAGTTGTCTTCGATGCAGCTACATGGAGGCTCGTGGGTGACTTCTGGTGTTGGCTCTGGAGTGGACTGTATGCAGTAATCGCAATAGGGTAAGTTGTCTTCCACGCAGCTACATCTGCAGTAGTCACAATAGGTAAGTTGTCTTCGATGCAACTGCAGGCACCGGTAGGCTCAGAAGTGAGTTCTTTTGAAGGCGCTGGTGTGGGGGCTTCTGTTGGTGCATATGTGGGTTCAGGTGTGGGTGCATCGGTTGGACAATATGCACATCGAGGCAAAGGACAATCACAAGTGCAAGAACAAGGTTCAGTGGGCTCTGCTGTTGGCTGTTGTGTTGGTTCAAATGTTGGATATGCTGTGGGTTCTGGAGAAGGTTCAAATGTAGGCTCAAGGATGGGTTTTGGAGTAGGTACATCTGTGGGCTGCAAAGTTGGATTGGCTGTGGGAATTTGAGTTGGCATATTAGTGGGTCCAGCTGTTGGTAGTTCTGTAGGTGTTTCGGTTGGTGGCAATGTTGGTTGCTTAGTGGGCTGACCTGAAGGACTTTGCGTTGGTCTGGATGTAGGTGTTGGTGTTGGAGGCACTGTAGGTTGCACTGATGTCCTTAGTGTAGGCAAAACAGTTGGACTAACAGTTGGTGGTGGACTGGGTGGTATGGTTGGAGCAGCAGTTGTGGGACTGGATGTAGTTGGACTCACACTAGGACTACCTGTGGTCACTGTAGGGGCTACTGTTGTGGGATTTGCTGTGTGGACGCAATTGTGGTTGGTGCTGAAGTTGGTGGCTTGGTTGGAGCTACTGTGGGTGACTTGTTGGAGCAGTAGTAGTTGGACTCAGACTAGGACTGCCTGTGGCCACTGTAGGGGATACTGTTGTGGGACTTGCTGTGGTGGGCGCAATTGTGGTTGGTGCTGAAGTTGGTGGCTTGGTTGGAGCTACTGTGGGTGACTTGGTTGGAGCAGCAGTTGTGGACTGGCTGTAGTTGGACTTGCACTAGACTTCCTGTGGTCACTGTAGGGCCAAGTGTAGTTGGACTCCCTGTGGTAGGTGCAACTGTTGTAGGTGCTGCAGTTGGCTGCTTGGTTGGAGCTACTGTGGGTGACTTTGTTGGAGCAGCAGTTGTGGGACTGGCTGTAGTTGGACTTGCACTAGGACTTCCTGTGGTCACTGTAGGGCCAAGAGTAGTTGGACTTGCCTGGTGGGCGCAATTGTGGTTGGTGCTGAAGTTGGCAGCTTGGTTGGAGCTACTGTGGGTGACCTTGTTGGGGAAGCAGTTGTGGGACTGGCTGTAGTTGGTCTCACACGAGGGACCACAGTCATCATTGTAGGGCCAAGAGTAGTTGGACTTGCTCTGGTGGGTGCAATTGTGGTTGGTGCTGATGTTGGTAGGTTGGTCGGAGCTACTGTGGGTGACCTTGTTGGAGCAGCAGTTGTGGGACTGGCTGTAGTTGGACTGACACTAGGACTGCCTGTGGTCACTGTAGGGTTAAGAGTAGTTGGACTTGCTGTTGATGGTGCAGATGTGGTTGGTGCTGAAGTTGGTGGCTTGGTTGGAGCTACTGTGGGTGACTTTGTTGGAGCAGCAGTTGTGGGGCTGGCTGTAGTTGGACTTACACTGGGACTGCCAGTCATCATTGTGGGGCCAAGAGTAGTTGGACTTGCTGTTGATGGTGCAGATGTGGTTGGTGGAGATGTAGGTGGCTTCATTGGGGCTTTGGTCGGCGCTGCTGTTGGTGGCTTTGTGGGTGTACTGTGGTTGGGTTTGTGGTGGTTGGACTTGCACTAGGACGACCTGTTGTCATTGTGGGAATCGGAGTTGTGGGAGTTGCTGTGGTGGGTGCAGGAGTTGGAGCTCTGGTTGGTTCCTGAGAGGGCGTGTTCGTTGTTGGGTTTGCGGTAGTTGGAAAGGCACTAGGGGTTCCAGTGGTTGGTTGAACAGAAGGACTTCTTGTAGGACTCGGAGTGGGTGGCAGTGATGGAGGCCGAGTGGGGTGTGATGACGGTTTGAGTGTTGGTTCCTTGCTGGGGGGAGATATAGGGCTTAATGTGGGGAGCATAGAAGGGGCGGGAGTTAGCTTAGTAATTGTGATGGTGGGTCTAGTGGGACCTGGCGTAGGCTTGTTTGTTGTGGGAGCCGGGGTCTCAACGGGACTCTTGGTACGCTTTCCCGACCTTGCGGATGGCCGGTCCGTAGTCTTTGGGGAATGAGTAGGTCGTGGTGTCTTTCGCAGATTTGGACGTGTGGTGGGCTGGGGTCCTGGTGTTGGCTTGTACGATGGAACTAATGTTGGTGCAACGAGGAAATCTGCCGTTCTTGTAGTTCGAGGCGCGCAACAACATCGACGACGAACGGAGGAGAAAATTGTAGGGCTTGCTGAGGGTCTTTGAGAGGGCGATAACGATGGGCCTTCAGATGGGACTATTGGAGAGAAGTGGACTCCTGCTGAAGGTGCGACTGATGGAGCAAATGAAGGCGCATGACTTGGAACGCGAGAGCCGTGGTACTCTCCCTCCAAGGAACAGCAAACACAGTCTTTCAGCATGTTTTCCTGGAACGAGGGAGTGCTACTGGGTGCCGTAGAGGGTGCATTACTTGGTGCATCGGAGAGTTGGTAGGATGGGCTTGAGCTAGGACTTGGGCTCATGGAATCGCCGTGTTTCTTGCTTGGGGACGAGCTGGGAGCAACGCTTGGTGCCTCGCTTGGGCTCGAGCTAGAATTCGTGGGGTCTTCGGATTCAACTTCGTAGCAAACAATACCGCTATCGGATTGCGACGATGGAGCAACACTTGGTGCAAAAGAGGGAGCGCTACTTGGCAAACCAGAGGGATGGGAAGATGGGCCTGAACTGAAACTTGGGCTAATCGAATCCCTTTCAGTCTCGGAAGGCAACAAGCTGGGAAATTCAGATGGCGACGAGCTTGGAAACTCACTTAGAGGACTTTTAACGCAGATAGCGTACAATTCCTCAGCACGGACCTGGGAGGAGGATTGAGATGGCACAACCCTTCGACGTTGGTTGGGGACACGTCCATAGTTCTCTTTGCGTAAGAATGACGCTTTGCAGACGCCAAATGACCAGCAAACTACAAAGGCAACGGATATGCTGGGAATGACTTTCATGCTTGCTTAAAGATGTTAAATTGATTGTTTTTGCTTGCTCCGATTGTGCTCAGATCGATTTTGTGACCATGGATCAAGGAAAGGTACTGGTTGTCCGTTGTTTCATCGAAACAATCCATCCGTGTTCAAGGGTTGTTTCGTGATGCGCTACCACTGGGAAAAAACAACAAGATCTTTTCTCTTTGCTTCGGTGAACACAAAGCTCCTTGACGACAACACTTCCTCTACCGGTACGAAGGTGGAACAAACGGGAGAGTTGAGTCCTCGCCTGGGAAATCAACAAAGCAAGAGCGCAAAGATTATCTCCCAACCTCACGATACTGTACACCACTTACAAAGCAAGAGGCGTTTGTTGCTTCTGTGATTGAACCACAAAAACCAGGCAGTCACACATCGGTCCGGAAACTCCCACACCAACAAAAAACAGATCTGGCTGGATAGCTATGGTAGCTAGCATGACACAGATCGTGATTCGGTGAAGCTTTTCTAATGGCAGAGAAGGATCTCATCCTGCAGCGTCGTTAGAGCATTCTGGGAACATCTCTTTATCGTCACAGATTGACGAACTAATGTTGGCTCTCTTAGCATTATTGAAATACTGAAATTCACTGGACACGGAGTCAAATCGTGTCCTGGCGGCGTTGCTCCTCCCTTGCTTGTTTGTTGCACCAGTTTGCAGAGACGAGTGTCTTGGTTGCCTGAGCCTGAAGCAACCTTGGTGGAGGCAACAACTAGGACCAGGACTCAAATAACCCTGCTACAACCGTAGCCGCAGGTCATCGGATTGACTATCCAACACATCCAGGTCCTCAATTCAACAGCAAGATCCCGAGACAATACAAGATGCAAAAGATGCAAGGAGAAGCTCTTTGGTACCAAGACCAGACTGGAGCTGTTCGTGTGACTACCATCCCCTGTCTCCTTGAGCGGCAACGCGACTGGGCTCGCCGTGAGCACTATGGCAACTAACTATGATGAACCTCCTCAAGCCCCAGGAGGGTGCTCATGGCGTTGGTATTGCGCATGCCGCCTACTCCATGGTCCACAACGGCCCCTCAATCTACCCAGTACGAGAATCATTCCCACCTCATCCAAAAAGAGACAGCAAACGATTGCGCCCACACTACTAGCTACGTAGCTAGCTAGGACGGTGCAGACACCACCGAAGCATCGACCAGGTGTACAAATAGAAACGACATTGTCTATCTCATTTCGAGAAACGAAAAATCGAAATTCCTAAACTCAACATACTCACACTCATACTCACACTCACACCGTACCGTACACTTTTATTTGATAAACTTGTGAACTGTGGTGTAGGCATTGTCCTGGTAGTCTTCTTTGGTAAAAACATCCGAGAAGATGGCTTGATCTCCCACCTCCCCCGTCGCACCCACCTTGCTGGCATAAAAAATGCCAGTCTTGTACGTATCACCATCCAGTAGCGCGTCGACATAACGCTTGGCACCAGAATCCACACCATGAGCCTTGCCCAGCAACTGGAACAATGGGAAAAATACTCGTTTGTACAGGAATCGTAGCATGGCGGGGACATGATCGGCCACGTTTGTGCCAGCGGTCATTCCGGGACTCATGGTGACAAAGCGAAACGACGGTTCTTTGCGCGCCATGGACGACATCCACAGAGTCGCCACAAGCTTGGTAATGGAATACATGCCATCAAAGGTCTTCTCCTTTTCCGCGAACCGCGATCCATCCGCAATGGCCGTGAGCTCTTCGACCGAGCCATCCTTCAATACGGGAGCCGGCATGCCCAAACTAGGAATGCCACGAGATGCCTCGGATCCGGCCAATACAACCGATCCACCTGACGAGAGCTTTTTGTTTTTCAAGAGCAGGTCCACCAAGAGGACATGGCCCAACACGTTGGCGCCAAAGATTGCAGTCACACCGTCGGTCGTCAGCTCGGCGGGGTTGCTGCCTCCTCCGCCGCCTGCATTCAAAATGAGTCCATCGATAGCGACAGCGGAGGAGAGACTGTCGACCGCCTTGCGAACAGAGTCAAGACTGGAAACATCCATCACCACCACTTCGTAAAAGTCTCCATCTTTGCCAGTGGATTCCTCGAGCGATTTCTTGGCGGCTTGTGCTTTTTCGGGGTTGCGACAGGCCAACAAGACCTTTTCCACTCCGTCCTTGGAGGCGAGCTGGCGGGCACTCTCATAGCCAAGGCCAGCATTGGCGCCAGTGATTAAAACTACCTTTGTTGGAGGCGACATGGTCTGTTTTGTGTTGCGTTGTTGTGTTCTATTATGACTTCTCTTTTGTTTTATGATGGTACGACTGTACCGGTACTGTACCACCATGGATCTTTGCGTCCACCTGTGACCGCGATGCGAACAGGATCTTTCGAATTCTCAGCTGGTTCGAAGCTTTCGATCCTCTTCGTTGGCCTACGAGGACGCTCGAAGAAGTTCAGCTATTAGTAGCTGGTACCTGGTACCAGGTACCGGTACAGTACTACTCGGCCCCAGAATTCCAAAGAATTGCGAGAATTCAACTATTGAATCGAATGAATGTGAATCGAATCAATCTCCTTTGATCCTTCCTTTCTCATGAGATATGAGATCAGCAATCAAGCCTGGAATGTTGGCGAGTGTCCCAGACGTATGCATAGCGGATCATACGGTAGCTTGTACAGTACCGGTACGCTGTAGCTTTTGCGGGTGGGGCTGGGGGTTACGGTTTTGAGCTAAGCAGATCAAAGCCTTCGTCTACAACGTGAACCATAGTGGTTCCACACAGCAAACAAACTGCAAAGAAGTTGCTGTCAACTGATTATTGTTTGCCTCGTAGCACTGGTTAGCGTGGCTTCGTTTGCTCACCAGAATCTACCTACATCACCGCGAATACATCGGGCGAACAGCAGGAGGAAGCAAACCATCGAAAGGCGCGACGTACCGGTGCGGAACCACCGCCTTGTCCAGCACCTCCCGTACACAAAAATACTCCCATCCAATCAATCCCTAACATAAAGTGAGGCAGCGTTGGTGGCGTCTGAGAGGTGGTTCTATCTCACAAGTCTCACACGAATTCCACTGATGACTTGTTTTTTAACATAAATACGATTTTAGTTTTTTGGCATACTTTCTAATATCCAGGTCACGGTACAGATTGCGACAACGCGTGACAATCGGAAATCCTCGTTTTCTCCATGCCTCTCGTGTTGTCAAAGTCTCATTTATTTGTTTATCGTTGTCGTGTTCCTTTCGTTTGTCGTTCGTTGCTTGCTTGCTTGTTTTTGTCAGTTTAGAGCTTCAATTCCTTGACCTTTTCCCAGGCAAAGTCGGGATCATCCCGTCCAAAATGTCCATAGGCTGCGGTCTTGCGCATGAATGGTTTCTTCAAGTTCAAATCGCGTTGCATGCATCCCGGACGCAAATCAAAATTCTTCTTGACAATTTCGCAGAGATCGGAATCCTTCATTCCTTCCTTGACGGTGCCGTACGAGTCGACAAAGACGGACAAGGGATGAGGGACCCCAATCGCATAGGAGAGCTGTACCAGTGCCCGTTTGCACAATTGGTTGCCGACTAGGGATTTCGCGACCCATCGGGCGGCGTAAGCGGCGGACCGATCGACCTTGGTCGTATCCTTGCCGGAAAAGGCGCCACCACCGTGCGCCCCCCATCCACCGTACGTGTCAATGATAATCTTGCGTCCGGTCAAACCGGCATCTCCGTGAGGACCACCAATGACGAATCGACCGGACGGATTCAAGTGATAAATGGTCTTGTCATCGAGGTATTTTTCCGGAATGACGGGTTTAATGACATGTTCCATGAGATCGGACGCAATTTGTTCGTTGGTGACATCCTCCGAATGCTGTGTGGAAATGACCACGGTATGAACGCGTTGGGGGACCGGGACGCCATTGACGAGCAAATACTCGCAGGTGACCTGGGTCTTTCCATCGGGACGGACCCAATCGCAGGTTCCATTCTTACGAACTTCCGTTAATTTGGATCCCAACTGGGTGGCCAACATGTGCGTCAAGGGCATGAGGGATTCGGTTTCGTCCGTGGCGTATCCAAACATGATTCCCTGATCACCGGCTCCAATGTCTTCGGGTTTGGCGGCATCGACGGATTGAGCAATATCGGGGGATTGTTCTTCAATGGCGACAATGACATTGCATGTTTTGTAGTCGAATCCCTTGGCGGGATCGTCGTATCCGATATCCTTAATGGCATCGCGAATGACTTGTTCGTAATTGACCGTAGCCGAAGTAGTGATTTCACCAAAAATCATGACCATGCCCGTTTTGCAGCAGGTTTCACAGGCCACACGAGAATTTTCATCTCCGGCCACGCAGGCATCCAAGACGGCATCACTGACTTGATCGCAGAATTTGTCTAATCAGCAATAATAGTAGTAGAGAAAAGAAATAGAAAAAGAGAAAGAAAAGGAAATGATTAGTTGACGGCCAAACGAACGAGGAGCGCACACAGATTATGACACCCTTGACAAAGATCAAGAACCAAACTGCATATCATTGTCCATGTGATACAGTTGAATAGAATCCTAGACGGAGCCAACCAAAAGAAAGCGATGGTTGCTAGCTAGTGGCAATCAGCCTATATGGATTTGCGGGTCTATCGTATCAACCAATACAGGGATTCTAGCTAGTAAACATAACAACGCTAGCTCGTCATGGTCTCCAAGATATCTTTACCGCAACCAATGACTTTAATGGGTTCCTCGTCCTGCAAGGACAGCCATCCAATCATGCCACGAAACGAAAACAAATACACAAATACATTGGGCGATGTTCAAGAATGAATCGAATCACTTGATCTTACCAGGATGTCCCTCATTGACAGACTCGGAGGTGAAGAGGAAACTAGTTTCTTCCGTCATGGTAGCAAATGTTCAGCAAAGAAAGGATTGATGACAACAACAAAGGCGACCCTTTTATGAAAACAAGAGTTGGATGCTCGAGGCATTGGCTGTTTGCTGTCCGCTGGGATCTTGGGAGGTTCTGGGAAAAGATACCGGTACTGGGCCGTTTTGAGCGTTAACACGTTCCCATTTAGAGATGGTGTTACTGGTTCTCAAACATGGATACTGGAAGACAGTTTTGGAAGTTTGGTAGATATGGTAATAATTATAGGTTTCTAATAAATATTGACTATAACTCAGTAACTAGCTTACCTAATCTACCTTTTGTTTCTCTCCTTTGTTTCTTGTCCCTCGATCCTCACTCCACTGTTGTTTGATGGATTGATAATGCATCCTCTTCGTCCTGCCCTCTCCTTTCTGTTTTGCTTTAATAGCTACAGCAACATGGCCACCTCCAGTACCGCCGTTCCCGAGATTGTTCGAATCTACGGTCTCCCCGTCCAAGATGCTGTCATTACGCAAGGTCGTGGTCGCGGCACGGCCAAGAATATGACGACGACATGGGGCATTCGTCCCAAGATGCGCATCGTCTTTGCTACTCCTCAAAAACCTCTGGCCATTTGGTACCGAGGAACGGTGCAACCTTTGAATGGCGTGGAAGCCTACTCTTATCAAGAACTCAAATATGCGGGCATAGCGCCAGATTCCGCCTATTGGCAAGATCAATATGCATTGGAGCAACCCAAATGGCATGCTCCTCGATTGGACCACTGGCAAGACTTTTCCACGCTGCGGACTTTTTGGTCCACTGGAGGAAACGACAATTTACAGAAAGCAGAAAACGGTGACAACAACAAATACTCCTACTACGAGTTTGACTATTATCCCTGTTCGTTTTGGCTACAACAGGGATACACACACTCCACAATGAAACTGGAAATTCAAATGGCAACACCCGAACACGACGCAACAACAACCACCACAACGCACAACAGCATGGGTCCGAGTCAGTTTCGAGAACCCTGCGACACTTTGTGGTCTACCGGAGTGGAATGGAACTCTCGCGACGACTACCGCGATGAAACATCCACAAGAGCCATCGGGAAACGTCTGCAAGACATGACACAAAACGAGGGATTATCATTGGATGGACATTCGCAAGAACTAGAACGGAGACTGATCGACGGAGGCCAAATGAAGCAGGAACAGTAATCACAAAGCAACATGCATAATTGATTTCCCTGCAAGAGCAAGCATAAATATATAATAAAGAATGCACGGGGATGTGACTCTTTCGTCTTCTGTGGAAATATATGTTTGTCGTAGTTTTAGGTTTTCCAAAGCAAGAGCTGCTTGATTGGTACAGTGCCGTAGCAAACGGTCAATAAAGATCCCCGTGCGATTGTCTTCTGGGCTTGCAACAAAGACTCGTTTTGTTTGATGAATGAATGAATGACAATCTCCTTGATCCCATTTCTTCATCACGGCTTATTGTTTCTGTGTTGTTTTTGTTGTTTTTGTTGCTGCTGCTGCTGTTCTGCTAGTTTCTGATTGACATATCCATTCATGGCAAAGGTAATACCCCAGAGACCACACATGTAGACACTGCGTTGTCCAAATCCCGCGTAGAGTTTGCGGAATCCTTCCTTTTTGACAATGGTCACGACACAATCGAGTGCCGATGTGTAGGGAATGGCCGTGGAGGCTGCCTGTGTCATCATGCGTGTCTTGACGACATCAATGGGTTGCGTCACCACTCCACCCACCAAGGCGCTGCCCATGCCAATGACCAAGTTTTCGGCAGTCGTCAAGTGTGTCTTCTTTTTGTTCTTCTTGTTGTTGTGATTGTTGTTGTGCCGGTGCAGTAGTTTCCGTTTCATAAAGTCCATGGTGGTAAAGGTGGTAATGACAAATGGCACATTCCGCGATACCGTCGGTCTCCACGCACTGTAAAAGCCCGGAATACCTTCCGTCTGGTAAATGGTCGCCACGGCGTTTCGAAAACTGGGATAGACACCCGTCACCAATCGCTGTTTGATAACTTCTTGTGGAACACTCACTAAGCAACTACCGGCGGCTCCCAATGCCGATGCCACTACGGGTCCCACACGATCATTCCACGCCGCAAAAATACCAAATTGAATGGCTCCTTGCGCGAGTGCAAAGGAACTCGTCGTCAAACATCCTCGACTCAATGCCTTGGCACCGACATCGGCCAACGTGCGACCATCTCGAGTTTGTGCCAGTGTCCGTAAGGCATCGACGGGATACAACACGGCTTGGGCGAGTGCGCGACTGCTGCCACCCGCTAAAACTTTTTGAGACCATGCGGGAAGACGGCGGCGTTGTCTACTACGAGCCGCCACTACATGTACGGCAGATGACGAGGCACTGTGACACAGCAAGAACAAGCAGAGCAGCGGCAATAGGAGGTTCATTGTGGATTGTTGTGTTGGACTTTTGTCTGGTGTTGATCCCATCATCATCGTTAGTGGGGGTATCGGCATGAACCCTATGGAAGTATCCATGTTTGAGACGCATAGAGTTATGAAAAGATACCTTCGATAAATTTAGCATAGAAACTTCCAGTTGCTGATCCTCACAGTTCAACTTCAACTTGTGTGACGGCTGTTATCTTTTGGTGTCTTTCTAGGGATTTGATTGAGGAACCAACCAATGAAATGGAAGCTGACGGTGGCAACAGCCGTCCACTCACCTCGGGGTACACAGCGAGAAAGAAGAATGGAACGCATCGAACCAAAGATTCCAGTACAGCAGTACGGAACACTCGAGGATATCTCCTCCTGCACAGAACAACCAACATTCTTTCGCGCACACATCATCCACCGAAAAAGAAGAAGCCAGAAATATTCTCGTTATCTTGCTCTGCCATCAGCCAACAAGTCACAATCCAGGTGAATGCGTATTATCTGATCTGGCAACTCCATTCATCCATCGTTTTACTAGACTACACTACTACAAGCATGTCTCCTTCCAAGGTTCTATCCCTCGCATTAGCTGCAGCTAGTTGTTTGCAGTCGAGTGTGGTATTCAGTTATGCTCCACCATTAGCATTGGCTCCTAGCAGACCATCACCTACTTTTACTTCGCGACCAACCACTTCGGCTCTTTTCTCGTCAAGTACCACTTCTTCTTCTTCGACAAAGACGACCGATGCCGAGTTTGCGGCCTTTGCCGAGACATTGGAGGAGGATGTGGATGTAGACGAAGAAGACATGGATCAAACCTGGCAAGCTAGCGTGGATGAGCTACTGGATCCTCTTACGCCACTGGCCCGACGACAAGCTCTACTGGCCAAATTAGTGGGTGCCAACAAAGATATTCAAGAATCGGTCCTCACGGCACTGCGGGATCGCAAGGCAAGTCATATCATTCATCTATGCATCTCTTCATCTCGTGATGCAGTTATTAGCTGGCCGACTTGACTATGTATATTTATATTTCATGACAATCACCCAATAGTAGTAGCTCACTTCCTCCTCGTTTCGTCTCTCTTTTCTTTAATCCATGGACGCACAGATCGACGGACTCTTGACTCCCAATGGCAAAAAGCTTCAAGAAGGCAGCCAAACCGTGGCCCGTCAAATCACCAACGATATTCTACCCAATCTGGCCGCCAATCCTCCACCCAACCCGGCGACTCTCTTGCCAGATCCCACCGATGTCTCCAAAGTTGGATCACGCATCCTCAATGCATTGAGCAATCAAGTCCAAAAGAATATTGAACTGCTCCAAGGAGATTTGGCCAATCCAGTGCGCATCCCACAACGAATTTCTCGTCAAACCAATGACTTTGTCACCGAAGCCCGCAATGTCTTTTCTGAAACACCCGTCGGGTTACAGGAACCACCCTATACGGTCGTTCAAACATCCGGGTCGTATGAAATTCGGGATTACGAAGGATACAGCGTCGCATCGACCAGCATGGGCAAGAATACTGTCATTTTGGGGGCCGACGACAATGCCGCCGGAACCAACTTGGCCGAAACCGGGGCGGCGTTCAACACCCTGGCGGCCTATTTGTTTGGTGCCAACAAGGAGGGTGTCTCCATGGATATGACGACACCCGTCACTACCACGAGTTGGGGTGAAATGCGATTCTATCTCAGTCGACCCAATGATGTCCCAGCGCCGTTGGATGATGCCAGCAGTGGCTCCTTGTACGAATCCGGGGCCGTCACGATTCTCGATATCCCTCCGGCACGGTTGGCCGTGAAAAAATTCACCGGCTTTGTCACGGAAGGAGAAATCACGCGACAAAAGGATGCACTCTTGTCGGCATTGTCCATGGATGATATTGAAATTGATGTCGCTCATGGAGATCCCATTTCGCACGTCATCTTTCAATACAATCCACCCTACACGCTGCCCATTGTCCGACGAAATGAAATTGCCGTGGCGGTGCGAAGAGAAAACGAAGTGGTCGATCTCAAGCAACAATGGGGTGACAAAGAGACTGCCGGTGGCACGACCGTGAAGAGTGCAGAGGAAATGGAACCTGTCAATGGTGTTACAGAGGAGTCGACCATGAGTGCAGAGGAAATGGAACCCGTGAATGGTGTTGTTACAGAGGAGTCGACCAAGACCACTGCTTCCGCCGAGAAGGCTCAAGTTCTAGAGGAAGAAGATATTTCGCCCAGTGATTAATGCATTAGAAAAACGCAGCAATACACAGGCACGACGGACCACCTATTTTTGTAGCGCAAAGGGTTGGAGGAAGCCATGCCAAAAGTTGGGAAATGGCTTCTCGGCTAATGAATGGCACCCTTGCGACCACTAACGAATGAGAACACACGGCAACCTGGCAGTCAGATCAAGATCATACTCAACAATTAAGCCAAGTTGCACATACAGTACGTACATAACAACAATTCGCAAGAGGCTTTTCTAGACGACAAACAAGAGAAACATAAGGACTACTAGCTAGCAATTCAATTACATAGATGGCAGTTTATCAGTGGAACGACATCGAGCTGTCTCGGGAGACGGTACGCACTACATGCTTCGTTGCCGGCAGGGAGGCTCCAAGACAAATGCTGTTGATTCTTCGTTCGTGTGCTAATGATCATACGGGTAGAGGGGGAAGAATTGTGTGCAATAAAAAGATTACTTGGATTGATATTATGTTTAGAAGCACGGATCTCCAAGAGGAGACCTCGTGTCAGAGAGTTTCATCATCTACTAGAATACCATAGCGGCGACGCAGATCACTCAGTTGAATTTTCAGCTCATTGCGCTCCTCCTCATAGGTTGGCAGAGCCTTCAACTCATCCCTCAGCTTGACACGACGATTGCGGAGTTGGCGCTTGGTCTTCTTGAGTTCTGCATGATCCTTCTTAGAGCCCAATCCAGAATCAATCAAAAAGTTGCAGTTGGTAATCTCCTCCTCAATCTTCTCGAGCTTCCTTTGGGTCTTTGTGCGGAGTGGGGAAATCATGTTGTCAAGATCTTTAATGGCCTTTTCAAGGTTGATGAGGTCACTATCAGAAGTTTCAGTGTCGATGTTGTTGCTGGAAGTATTGGGTGTGGCTGTTGTGGCTGTTGTGGCTGTGAGCATCAAGGGTTGGTTCGTTAGTTTGCTCTTCTTGTGTTGTGTTTTGTTTTGTGTTTTCAGTTTTTTAAAGGAGTAACTCGTGTGGTCTGGTGAGTACGACTGTAGAGTAACTGTGATCGGACCCAAGTACCATGGCGTGGTGGGAGTAAACTCAGTCTTGGGACCGGGATAGTCTGAGAGACCCCGGCCAACCGAAGAGAGTTTCCAAGCAGAGGCAGCTAAGCTGGCAACGCGGCCAATCTTTGTAACTACCGATATCGTGATCCTTGTTTGCGCAGAAGGTTACTGATACGATGATCATGACAAGAGCGATGGAAGAAGGATTCTATGAGCGCCCAATGATGCAGCCGAGATCAGATTCACACGAAAACCTCCACGTGGCGCAGGCAGAGTTCTGCCCTGGAAGATCCCAAAGATATGCATACCAGTGCGATGTATGGAATCCTGTCATCTCACTAATTTTGAATTCTTTGGTGCTGTAGACCTCAAATCAACCGGCACCAATGAGATCAGCCTTCCTTCTCATTCTGGTCCTCCTCCAAAGGGTGGCGAACGCTTTCGTTCCAATACCGGTATCACCGAAGCCATTCGTTGGTCGTACTGACACTCCTTTCAAGAATCATGTTCTTACTGCGTCTCAAACCTACGCTGCGTCAACAGCACTGCATATGTTTCCCACCAGAGTCGTGGCTGGATCGGTTGTTGCGGGAGCTTTAGCTTCAATCAAGATTGTCAGCCAGGGCAATGTTGCCATTGTTGAGCGATTGGGGCGATTTCAACAATGCTTGAATCCAGGATTGCACTTCGTCATACCTCTGGTGGATCGACAAAGAATCACGCTTTCCCGACGAGAACAAGTCTTTGATATTCCTCCCCAGGATTGTATCAGTTCAGATAATGCCCCTCTTTCCGCAGATGCGGTCGTCTACTGGATATTGATAGACCCTGAAAAGGCCTACTACGCGGTCATGGATTTGGAATTAGCCATTCAAAATCTGGTGTTGACGCAGCTACGTTCTGAAATTGGCAAGTTGACACTGGATAGTACGTTCTCGCTCGGGAACAACTCACTTCCGCCCTACTGAAGGACCTGGATGTAGCTACGGAGCCATGGGGCATCAACATTACTCGTGTAGAAGTGCGAGACAATATCCCCAATCCAGAAATCCTTGGAGCCATGGAGCAGCAAATGGCTGCTGAGCGAACAAAACGTGCTGTGGTGATCAAATCTGAAGGTGAGTTGGCCCGAGCCGTCAATGAAGCGGAAGGGGCGGCCCAATCTCGATTGATTGACGCTCGCGCATCTGCGGAAGCCCTTCGCCTGGAAGCCAAAGCCAAAAGGGATAAATTGGAGCTGGAAGCACAAGGTGCAGCCCAAGCCATTGCTGCGCTCGTAGATGTGATGGGCGGAGATGCAGAGGAAGCCACAAAGTTTCAGCTGAATCGAGAGTATATTGAGGCTCAACGATCTCTGGCTACCAGTGAGAATGCCAAAGTTGTCCTTTCATCAGATGCTTTCAACAGTGCCATGGTACAAGCTTTGTCGCTCTACGATGTAGCCAAAGAGAAGCAATCGTAGCTGGGCTGGTGCTCCACTAGCCAGATTGTTTTTAGTTTGTAGCCGTGTTACCAGCAATGCAAGTTTAGGCCAAGTGTGGTGCAAGTTGCGGTAACCAAAGTTTCCCCGTTCAGAGCATCTCCAACCCCATATCTTGGGCTCTCTGACTTAAACACTTTCCTGACGAGAAACCTTATGACGAATGCCTGTAAGTGGGTGCAGTTGACGATGAAGACCATGTCACTCCTAAACAATCATCCAGTCTAGTATGTTATTTATTCTAGTTCGATTCCTAATAGCTTTCCTAACTACTAGTAGTGAGGCAGCAACAAACTTCCTTTGGTGCAACGTGATGCACGCAGCAAAAAGAAAGAGTGCCGCCAGGGATGCCACCAGGGATTGCGGCAAATAGATGACATGCCATTGCGTCACTCCAGAAGCTAAGGAATACCTATGACCGGGACGGAAGAAGCTGCAATCGGAGCAAGCTTCAGGCAAGGCAGAACGGGCAACATTTTCGAAGGAGCTGTCTGTGTATTGCCGCAAACTCCCTCCAGAGAGCTCCCTTCGGCCATGGTTGAGCTTGAGGGGCTGCCGTTCATCATGAAATTGCATTATGCTTTCGCTTGCTTCCACTAATGGTGTTGGGCTCAGAAGTGTTGGCAGGATTACTCCACTTGACTGGGTTTTCATGCAAGAGTCCATAGGCAAGGTTGCATCGATCCTCCTCTGTGGCAGGGTGGGCGCCTTCCTTGTCAAAGCATATTTCACCCTCTTGAAGTACCACCAGCAGATCTACGAATTCTACAATGGTGGTTTCTGGGTCACGTGCTTTTTTGCGGCCATGCAAATTGAGGTTGGTGTAGAAAGACAATAGATGTTCGCTTGGATGACGAGCGCTGCGAACATTGCCTCGTGGATTCTCCCGAGTACAGCCATCTTCAAAGCGGACACTTGCCAGTGTTGTATTGGATTTTTGGAGAATATCTGCTAGAATGTCCTGGTATCTCTTGAACCTGTCAGAATGCTCATCCACTTGCATATAAATTAAGTTTTTGAGGGTATGATTGCTCTCCAAAGCGTTCAGGATTGGATCCACTCCCGTTCCCGTCATGTCACTTGTTGCTCGAATACACAATGTTTGCAACAAGGAATTGCCACAAAGATCACGGCTGATGATTGTCATTGCACCTCCCGAATCCATATCAGTGTCAATGGATAGATTTGTGAGACAAGGCATCAACACCAAGCAATGCTCCAGGAACTCCAGAGCAAATGGATTGTTCTGAGCAAGATCTATCTGCAATTCCTGGATCTTGCAACTTGACAGCACTCGATTGAGTGAATCTGAGTTGAAGGAAATTGCTTCCCCCACTTGGTTTGGTGATGGTTCTGGGAAGTCAACATCGAAACGGAGCATGCTCTGATTGGAGAGGACTTTGCGGACAAACTCCAAAAATGCATCCAATTCCCATTTGCCGCAACAGTTTCTAATGGCTTGTAGGTGGGTGCTGTCCAGAATTGGCTCCATTCCCTCAAGAGTCTCTTGATCAAATGCTGCCCGCTTTGTCCTAGAATTTTCATCAACAACAACCCATGGGTTATAATCATCGATATCATCGAAAAGATCAACGGGAAAACCGATTTCTTTTGTTTTGCCCACAATCACTTTGAAGAGACTTTGAGTTAATTCCAGACTGTACTTCCAGTTCAGCACAGAACACAAGCAAGTTGACATCACAGGATAATTTTTAGGCATCAATATCTCTGGGTTTATATTGGCCATTATGACAATTTCTTTGTCGGTGGGTCTATTGGGTCCCGGTCCTTGCTCCACGGCCAACACAAATGCACTATCATCAACCAACCCAGGACGCATTGTAGCAAGAAACCCAACCACTCCTGGCTTGGCTCCACATTTCAGGACGTTCCAAAAGAGCTGTTTGGTCAATGCTTCCGGGAAAAATCCATAAAAAGTCTTGACAGTTTCCAAATCTGCCTTGGCCATCAACACCATTTCCAATAGCTGATGCTTGGAAACAGTCCAGTTGGTGGTCGGCACTGGATTATCAAGTGCGGCAAACAGAGTTGAGTGGTCCATTGTGGTAGTACTAGTATCTCTATCAGCAACAGGAGAAGCAATGCTTTGTGAAGTGGGCACCCGCTTCGGTTTCATCCGCGATCTTCAAGGCTCGAGCATTGGAGTTATAAAAAGCTGGTTAAGCTGTTTGGGATCTTCTCAGTCTCTTTAGCTCAAGTTGTCCATACCGGTATCATAGATCCTGTGAGGAGGAAGAGCTGGACGAGGTTGCTTCTCGGCAAATTGGCTGGACTGTCAGCATCTTGTTGGCTACTCCAGAGTACATGCATGGTACCGGTATCTAGCTACGAGTAGTAGCAATCTAAAGATAGATGAACTCGCTGTGTGGCATAAATGTCTCTGGTTACACGAAGTCAGAAATGATACGATTGAGCAGAAGTAAGTTTCTACAGTCAGGCCAGCACGTGGTGGTCACGGGACCAGTTATGCAATGTGCTATGGCCTATGGCAACCTACTAGAATTTTTTGCTGAAGAACCGGGAGACGGAAAACTATATGCAAATGTTGTTGAGGACAGGTCTCCTGGCTAGCTAGCTAGCCAACTGAAAAGTATTGGTCAATCATCACTTCGAAGCGACTGAGTGATTAGGAACAAAGAAAGCCTGGAGTACTAGCTAGTATGACAGGAAGCTAGAGTATTATTGGCGGTAGCAAGCTACTGGTACCGAAGCAATTTCGGAAACCTCAACGATGTGGACCTACATGTACAGCCGTCTCTTCTCTTCCTCCTTGTTCCATGCTCGGATGGATTCAAAGGATAGCGAATTGTGCTTGGACGACGACACTGTTGAACTTCCGCGGGAGGCTGAGCCTACCTGTACCGGTACGGCGAAGTTGTGGCATGGTCCTTTTTGTTGGGTTCCCTTTTTCCTTGGGCGGCGCATCCTTCTGACGGTCACTGCCAGGTGCGGCCAGCGGTTTTGCATTTGTCATCACTGTTGTTGGTTGTTTGTTTTTATATCAGAAACTCTCGTGACGACTGATCCATCGATCCATGGGTTGTCGTGGTAGGCAGTGTTTGTGTTTCCCAGAGCGACTCGAGTGCGGAAGTGGTACTGGCATAAATCTCCAAGACTTCGCCATATACCACTTCAATCTCACCACCCTTATTGGTATTATTGTTTTTGGTCGTCAAGGAATAGTCGTATCGATAGTCGTCTTCGTCGTCGGTAGCATCATAGACAAAGTCGTAATCGCCCTGGGCATCGGCGCGTTCACGGGCCCGCTTTTTGCGAAAGTCGATAATCATCCCAATCAGAATGAGTTGCATCCCGGCATCCGCGACACCGGCCGCATATACCCACACGGTTTCTCCCGAAGCGACAATCCAAAAGGCGACCAATGCCAAGTCTCCCACGACACTAATCACCAACGAGGCCATGCTGAGGACTCCTTCGTGTTGATGCCGCCAGGTGGTGACAATTTGGGGTATATACAGAATCATGTTGGTAATGGCCGCGGTACTACCCCATACTTGTAGGAGGGTGTTTTCCTCCTTGTCAGAGTCCTCATTCGCTAACACGCCAAAACTAATGACGGCGGCCACGGCACAAATGATCCATGTAACGACAGTGGCAATCTTGGCCATGTGGAATTCGGTGCCATCGCTGTAGTAGTATTTGCGAGTGATAATGGCGTCTTGTGACGCAACTGCTTCTTCGTCATTATTATTGTTGTTGTCGTCCATGGTAAAGCTGGTGGAGGGCGATGCTTCGAGTCCCAAGAGTGGTTGTTGTGTGGCGGTTTGATCTTCTTCTTCGGAAGAGGGACGGTACGGTTGAGGAGTGGAAAAGAGAAAGTAGTAAAAGATCAAACTTGGGACACCGACCAAGATGGACACGAAATTCTGCAGGGTTGGCATGCAGGCATTCAAGGTGGCAAAGAGTCGAAGCAACGCTATGGACCAGTCTTCGTCTCCGTGGGGATGATGAGGGTGGGAATTGGTAGCTGACGCCATCAAGACAGCAATGTCTCCCGTTGACATGCTGGTGGTGTTGAAATCCCCAAGGTTAAAGTCGTCTCCCGTACTGTTGGAACTGCTGCTACCGGTAGTATTGGTAGCTGTGGCGATAATGAAATGGTAGTCTCCCATCAAGCTGGCCAAAGTGATGGTCACATTGGAGATGGTACAAATCAGGATATATGCCAAGCTTAAGCCTTCAGCTGATCGATACTTCCAACATAGATAATGCTGGGGTACATTCATTAGGATGAAACCAAGGAGAAAGCCACAGCCAATCACAAAGTCGCCGGCTTCAATGATCCATGGAGGCAAGGAAGAGAGGTCTAGCATGGTTCTTCTGTAGAATTCGGAAGAGGTATGTAGTAGGGGTATACAGTACTTTTTTATGCGTTGAAAGAAGAAGAATCAAAGAGGCTTGGATTCTTTCGTTTGTGTGGCTACCCGAGCTGCTGCTATTGCTATTGCATTTGCTTTGGCTTGTCCTTGAGCTGGACGAAGAAAATAAGAAGAATGAGAACAAACGAGGATGTCTCGCATCTACATCGGTGTTGACGTCCTCCTCATCACAAGAGGTGGCAGTAGGTATCCGACACTCCGTGGTTTGAAATTCTTTAGTCGTTTCCCTGTTATTGCGGCCCTTCAATTTGGGGTCAGACCCATCCAAATTATGGCCAGTTGGATATTTCATTTCGGTATTCAAATTCACCCTTGCCACTCCCACCAGTCTCCAGCTTGCCACCAACAACCATTTTCATAGCGTTAATCAGACGGACAGAGGAGCAGACTGTCTCGTTTCTATAATTTTAGTTTCAACACCTTGTTTCTTTAGAGGACTGTAATTAGAGAAGTCTTGTGGAAGCGCGATGTGGCTCTTTTGGTCACATGCCTTCCAAAACTTGGAATTTGGTTCTTTGCCAGGTTCATCAGACTGGTACGGCCGAGGTTTTTCCTGCTTGTCTGCTCGGTCCAAATTTAGATGATGGCGATCATATCAGTAAGCAAGACCGAACTTAGTTGCCAGCATCCTTCCTGGTCTATATTTATCTAACATAGTTGGATGTACTGGACCTGCCAGGCCACGAGCACACAACCCTTGATTGCTAAACAGCAGCCATCATTCGAAGAAAGCGAGCTACTAGCCGTTGGCTAAGTGGACACTCAACCGCTTGCACGAACACACTCCAGCATCCAACCGGTACCGTACATCTGACATCCAACCAAGCTTTCGAACGGTGGATTGCTGCTCCAATAATGAGCCAAGATCAGGCAAACATACCGGTACCCCCCACCGGACTACAAACCGACGATGACCCACCACCCGAGCCCAACGTTCTTGATGCCCCCAACATTTGGGCTTGGTACCACGCCATTGGTAGACTACTCGAGACTGGGACATTCCGCGAACCAAAAGACTTGCCGGCACAAGTAACGCCTTGGATGATGATTTCCTCGGAATATCCATTACGGAACTTCGAACGGTTGCTCGAATTGGGGGTCACGCACGTACTCACGACCAATGCCATGGTACCGGAACTTTTGGAGCCCGCACAGCAACGGTATGCCAAGTGCGGCTTTATCACGCATGGATACGTGGCGGGGCGAGACCGAGAGGGATATGATATGTTGGGACAGCACTGGGGGGACTGCCTCGAGTTTTTGAGTGCTGTGCGGGGAGCAGACAACCAAAAGGTCGTGGTCCACTGTTCGGCAGGACAAAATCGGTCGGGGTTGATTGTCGCAGCCGCTCTCATTGCTTTGGAGCGCATGACGTTGATCGAGGCGGTGGAAAATCTGAAACGCGTTCGTGGGGTGGTGCTGATCAATCGCAGCTTTCGACAGCAGCTGTGCGAATTCGCTGCCAAAGAAGGGTTGTTGGGCGACAAACCAGAGGGCTTTTCCGATGAGCCACCAGAACCAATCCGTTCTTTTGAGTTCTTGTACCCGACGTTGGAACAAGTTTCGAATGAAGAAGACAACCAGGGAGACAGTCGAGAAGATAGTCAAAGGTAGTAGGGAAGCACAAGAGGTTGGAATCAACTTTTCGGACGGAAAGGTTCAAATCGATCGTGGTTATCAGTCTTGCATCGGACGGCAAGCAAGCCTACAGCCCTCAGCCATTGGTTGGTGACGCTCCCATCGCATTCTTCCACGGATGACGGCGTTCCTTCACTCAAAACAAAGTTGGTCCGGGAAGCAGTTTGTTGTCACTAACGACACAAGGCCTTTCCCAGCTGATCCCACTCTCTTGTACTGACATATCCATCCCCGTTCCAATCGAGGAGATCCCATGTTGCCTTGGCGTTGATCGGTTTCGAGCCCTGTGGCAGCTTGGAGTTGATTAGCTTCACAGCATCCATCCACTCGGAGCGGCTCAGATATCCGTCGTGGTTCGAGTCGACCAATTCAAACACAGCACGAAGCCATGGATAGTAGGGTGCCGCCGCTTTGGCATCGTCGTTTTCTACCATGAACGGGTTGACGCATTCGTCCAGTCGCAGTGTTTGTGGCGGCCTGTCCTGCCCGTGACATTCGACTGACAATGCCTTGGCAATGGCCAGCAAACTGCCAGGCTTTTTCAAACCAGACTCGTCCAGACGGAGCGTTCGAATCAAAATGTCTACCACCTTAAGAAAGGGGAGTTTGTTGCCGGATTGTTGCTGCTCTGCCAATAGCTCAAAAGACTCGAATAGTTCTGGCCTATGAACGACTGCAGCTTGCTGTAGAGACCGCAGGATGTCTTCCGAGTCCACCGAACACATGCGGCTCGTGGAGTTTTCTTCGTCAAAGGAAGTAAAGTTGTAGTGTTCTAGAGGTTCATCGTCTTCCGTAGCGTATCGTATCACTTCGTGCACTCCATTGGGCTTCAATTTGAGCACAGCGCCTTGATTGAAGCCTTCCTTATGAGGGTATCGTGATGCCGAAAAGACTGTGAAAAACTCCATCGCCTTCGTGCCGGCATCGCTGCTGTCTGTGACGAGGTATCGGACACAGCCTTTCTGCACGGGCTCATGCGATCGTATGAACCGATACAAGCCTTCTGTTTCCAGCAGGGTACGAACCATGCTGGAATCGAATTTGTGGCCGGCTCCTCGCGAGGGGTTCGGAGCCCAACCCATGTTTTCTCCTTCCTCGTCGGCGGCATCATGATAATCTGCGAGAGCATCTTCGTCCTGGTCAATCATGGGGTCCGACCAAAGGAGTGCTTCAATGACTTCCTGCGCCTTTTCTTGCTGCAAAGTAATCTCTTGTGCTTCTGTTTTGGTTCGTATGGTTCTCGAAAGACCGCCTTCACCAGCAGCAGCACCTTGATCGATAATGTATTTGATTTCCGACAACATGACATCGGGTGGAGGTGGCCCGGCATGGACAATGACCGCATCATTGTCTACTACGGTCGCCAACGGCAGGGACCGAAAAAAGGCATCGAGCGTGGGAGCCAAATCGTTGTGAAAGACGGATGCTCCGTACTTTTGCTGAATTTCGGCTGCTAGACCGTAGGCAATGGAGAGTGCCAAATCTTCGTGATTGCCTCGATTGACCAGCACCCAGTCGGGATAGGCGAGACTGAGGGCGCACACAATTGCGATAATTTCCACTCCGTGGTCCCCACGATCGGCCAGGTCTCCGTTGAATACCAGAATGTTGTGAGGGTTTGGTTCATCCGTCAAGCCGAGTACGGCCTCGAGATCGGTCAAGGAACCGTGCAAATCGCCAATCACAGTGAGATGTTGATTGTCCTGCAGAGGCGGGAGAGATACTACTCGAGGTTTCTCCTGAAAGTGTTTTGTGGCTTGTTTGACAATTGACAGTACGGTTTCCAGTCCAACTCTTCGGCCTTGGCGTGTAGCTTTTAGCATGGATCGGACGTCTTCGCCAGAAACAACCGGATCTCTCGATGGATCCAACACGGCCTCCATCACGTGAGGAAGAGAAAAGATGGCAAGATCACTGTTGGCTGTGAATAGTTGGTGTTTGTTGTTACTGACGCCACCAGACATAGTATCATCGTCGTAATCACCTCTCGGCAGAAGAGCTTCCAAAGAAGATACCAATTGTGCAACTTGGACCGCCTGTGCTTCCTTTGCTTTTTCCAGGGCGGCCAGGACAGACCAGGCGCCATCAACTTGCGCTTGTCTGGACACCTTTTCGACGGTGGTAGCACTTGCGGTAGAGAGAAAACGAGTGGTTAGAATCTTGGGAAGGATCCTTCGGGTGCCATGCCGTGCTGCCAACATGGTCAGAGAACACTATGATGAGAAGAACCAACCGAGTCACCACCAAGCAGACAGCAAAGACTTTTGTGTGTTTGTTTGTACCATCAGCACGGTCAACGGCTGATTTTCAACAGCATCATCGTCAACCATCAGGGAATGGTTGATGCCGTTCTATTTTGGCTGGGTTCCTGTTCGGAAGATCCAATAATTCTATTCGAACCATTCGATAGGGCAATTCGAATTGAACAACTCGATGGCACAACGTGGTGCCGTACCGGTACCGTACCGTAGACGGGTACCGGTACCTGGTGGTACCTGGTACCAGGCAGCACCAGTAGCACACACTTTCTCAACCGAATTCAAACCCATTGCCAAGGCACTGGGACATCATGCCTACTTTACGCCACACATGTACGTATTTGATGGAGTTCGGAGTCAGTTGCATGGAATGAACGGAGAGAATCAGTGCTTCAACTTGTGCTCAAATAACGGGAGGCATTGCGCTATGGACCTCAGTAAGAATTTGGATTTCGGTGTGAGTGGATTTGATGTTGTCAAGGAATCGCTCCGACGACAATGCATCAGATTCTGGAGCAAATACAGAGAAGAGGACGGTGTTGGTGAAAAGTGGGACTACGTGTTCGAATTTGACAAGCAGTGTGGAAATATGGATTACTTTAACAACCCTGACTGTGTCAATGATGTCTACCATCATTCCCACATCGATGGGGATCTCATTGAACAATGCATGAAAATTCCGGAGGTCTGGAAAAGGACGCCACCAACTTCTTTTTGGAAGCCCAACTCAAGGCACAAACCGATCTGGGTTTCTGCCAAGATCCAATTCTATTCGAAACATTCGATAGCAATTCGAATTGAACAACTAGATCATTTGGACCATGGAAGGGACCTGCTATTACCGTGCATGTGCCAGTACCCAACACAAAACAGTCCATTTAACTTGGTCGGTACCGGTACGGTACGTTTCCTCTTAGTGTGCATGCACAAGAGCAAGTTGTTATTAGGCAACCCCTCATGAAATCCATGCCTTTATGATTAGCTACACTAGCACCGGTGCGTCGATCCTTGCTGGCAGCACACCATGCACAGAACCTAGTGCAATCATTGGCCTGCCACAGTACCGTACATCATTGCCTCAAATGCTTCACGCATCTCCTCCTCTTCTCTCTGGGCATTTCTCTTACGCTCGGCATCTGACGGTTCAAGGACTCCCGGCATGTCCACTGAAACAGCATTCCGTTGTTCTTCCAACTCGAACTTTCTCAATTCCCTATCCACAGACTTTTGGTAATGATGGGATACACCCTGAAACATGATGGGCAACGCACCATTCATCATGACCTCACCCTGGATCATAAATTCCAGGGAGTCACGGGCATCCACGTCCCCTCGTAGCTCCTGCATCTTTCCCATCTCCTCGGAGCACTCCGATATGTGACTGGTTCTGGGGATTCGAATTTTTTCGTAGAGTTCTACCGCCTTGCCGAAATTCTCGAGTGTGAAGTTGCCCTTGGAGTCCACGCACAACTTCTTGAGTAGCCAGGCCATGGTGCCAGCATCTTCAATTCCCATCTGAGCTCCTTGGCCACTGTGCTGTTAGGAAGGGGGATCTTTGTGAGCATAATGACCTCATTCTCAGGTAGTGTAGAAACAGCACCAGGCAACATTCTACTTACATGTATGGAACTGGTGGGTGGGCAGCGTCGCCCACCAGGACGACACGCTTGTTCTTGCCATAGGACCATTTTTTCAAGCTGGGTTTCATCAAGGCAAATCCAACACGGACAGCATGGGTAACGTGATTGAGTGGCTCAATAAATCGAGGATGCCAACCATCTTGTTCCAATCTCTTGGCAAGAGCTTGGCATTCCTGCTTGGACATTGTATCTGTCAGGTTGCCCCAGTTGCCACTGTTGGCCTGTTCAACAGGAATGGGCCAATGTACTTGGAAACATTGTTCATTGGGGCCAGTAGGAAAGTAGACTGAATGACAACCGGTGGTGTGAGAACTGGGGAAGGAGATTCCTTCCTGCTGAATGGGACAGTTTTCGGCAATGCCCATCAGACACGTCACACCCGTGTACTCCAGAGAAGTGGCATCTCCTGCCACAACCTCACGAACTTTGGAATGGGCTCCATCGCAGCCAAAGAGAAGCTGCGTTGTGCGTTGACTTCCATCTTCAAAGAGGACATCGACCAATCCATCATCTCTTACAACCACGTCCTTGGTAGCCTTGCAAAAGTGAAAGAGGAGTGTTACCGTACCAAATCGAGCAAGAAGGAAAGAATAGAATCAGCCCTTTGAATAGCTAGACAATGTGGTCGCTCAAACTCCGCCGTTTGTTTCACCGGATGAAAAGCTGCGGTGATGTAGTTGGCTAACCCAGGATCTTTTGAAAACCACGGAAGCAAGCAAAGCCCTTAGTAGGCTCGATGTTCAACACGCAAACTGCCTCCATTCAATCATACCAGTACTCGGAGAGTTCGGGGCAGGACGGTTCGGTTGCGTGACTCCTTGTCCCACCTGTGGAAAAGGCAAAACTCTTGAATCTCGTCACCCAAACGAAAACAACCAACCGATCTGTTGAAGAAAAGGGAAAAGGGAGAAAGCTTTTACCTCTCTGAGGCCCAACAACACGAATTTGGTGTCGAGTATAAGGAAGTTTCAGTGTTTGGGTTGGCTCTAGCAGGTAAATGGCCTGGTTGGCGAGATTGCTTCTTTCCAGGTGGGGTCAATACCCTTGGTTTCATGTCGCTCTCCTATGTCATTTGGGTGTGCTCGCGGTTGATGAACAGCGAGCAGCCTTTTCTCGGTTCCCATCCTTGCTTTCGTTCCCATATGCAGCTCTCTACTAACTCTAGCTAGTGGCCGGAGTTGGCCCTTTGTTGGCTTCGCCTCAGCTTGAGACCCTACGGGAGGAGGGAGACCGCAAAGGACAGTCCCTGTTGAAAACTCAGGCGATGCAAAATTTAATGCGCAAAACTGTGCAGTTGCGTGCACTCTCCACTTTGGTCGGAGTTCCTTCAACCTGACCTTAGCTTGATCAGTTATCGGAGAGTTCTCATCGTGCCCTTCAACGTCCAGCCATTCTTTCTTGAATGACCAAGTGCTCCTTTTATTTAATAAAAGCTTTACCGGACAGGATTACTAAGGGCACAAAGAATCCTAATTTGAAACCAGCCAACCACTTCTCAGTTCGGATACTGGCCTCACAAAGCTCCTCACAATCTACCCTTCCGTTTTCCGTTGCTTCCATTCGAGCGGTTGCCGGGGTTCGGTTCGCCTGGACTTGCTTTGCCACTCCATTACGGCGAAGTCTGTTTGCGGCAAACAACAAATCCGAATCTATCAACTACTTCATCCTTTTGACAACGACTGATGCTTCAGAATGCCGCATCTCAACAGGATTGAGAAGCTCGCATAAAAACAAAAAAGCACTCAACTGCAAACAACATTCGAAACCTACAAAACTCGAACTTTCACCAGGAGACCAAGACGTACAATTTCATGATGGCAAAGGATCAGAGCACATCAGTGAAACAGGAGCCCGCTAAGATTGTCATTGTACGTTTCACGTTCGTTAGCCTTGGACCTTGCTCCTTGGGTTTGTACTCACTTTCGTTGATCTTTACAGGCCGGAGGAGGTATCGTAGGCCTCATCTTTGCAATGGCTGTCAAGAGACATTGTGGTATCACTTGTGAGATATACGAAAAGGCTACCAAGTTCTACGATGAGGTTGGTGCGGCCCTTGGGATGTATCCAAATGGGCTTCGGGTTATCAGAGACATTGACCCAGATTTGCTTCGTAAGATCCAAGAGGCCGGAGCCCCCTATGTGTATCGGCGATGGGAACGCCATGACGGAACCGAGATTGCCGCAGCAAAGGAGGATGAACTCACAGAAGGAGACTGGGAGCTATCGAGTATTGGAATCCGCCGATGGAAGCTTCAAAAGGTCCTCTTCCAAGCGGCCGTGGGAATGGGTATCCCCTTTCACTTTTGCAAGGCTACCAAGGACGTGGTTGTAAGAGATGATGGATTGGTCGATGTCCTCTTTGAAGATGGAAGTCAACGCACAACACAGCTTCTCTTTGGCTGCGATGGATCCCATTCCAAAGTTCGTGAGGTTGTGGCAGGAGATGCCACTTCTCTGGAGTACACGGGTGTGACGTGTCTGATGGGCATTGCCGAAAACTGTCCCGTTCAGCAGGAAGGAATCTCCTTCCCCAGTTCTCACACCACCGGTTGTCATTCAGTCTACTTTCCTACTGGCCCCAATGAACAATGTTTCCAAGTACATTGGCCCATTCCTGTTGAACAGGCCAACAGTGGCAACTGGGGCAACCTGACAGATACAATGTCCAAGCAGGAATGCCAAGCTCTTGCCAAGAGATTGGAACAAGATGGTTGGCATCCTCGATTTATTGAGCCACTCCATCATGTTACCCACGCTGTCCGCGTTGGATTTGCCTTGATGAAACCCCGCTTGAAGAAGTGGGCGTACGGCAAGAACAAGCGTGTGGTTTTGGTGGGTGACGCTGCCCACCCGCCAGTTCCATACATGTAAGTAGACTGTTGCCTGATGCTGTTTCTACTCTACCTGAGAATGAGGGCTTATGCTCACAAAGTGCCCCCTTCCTAACACCACAGTGGCCAAGGAGCTCAGATGGGAATTGAAGATGCGGGCACCATGGCCTGGCTACTCAAGAAGTTGTGCGTGGACTACAAGGGTAAATTCACACTCAACAAATTTGACAAGGCAGTAGAAATCTACGAAAAGATTCGAATCCCCAGAACCGGTCACATCTTGGATTGCTCCAAAGAGCTGGGAAAGATGCAGGAGCTACGAGAGGACCTGAGTGCTCGCGAAGACCTGGAATTGATGATCCAGGGCGAGCTCATGATGAATGGCACACTGCCCGTCATGTTTCAGGGTGCGTCCCATCATTACAGAATGTCCGCAGATAAGGAATTGAGAAAGTTCGAGTTGGAAGAAGAACGGAATGCTATTTCGGCATACATGCCAGGAGTCTTTGAGCTGTCAGATGCTGAGTGCAAAAGAGACGCCAAGAAAGAAGAGGAGGAGATGCGCCTGGCGTTCGAGGCAATGATGTACGGTGGTGCCCCATGCCAATGATAGCACCTTGTTTTCCAGCATGATGTACATGCAGCCAGCTAGGCAGCAAAAGGATCGACGCACCGGTACCAGTGCCTTGTTGTATAATAATATCTAGCTAATTATAAATCCGTGAATTTGCATGAGGCGTTGCCGGAAAACTTGCTCTTGTGCATGCATACTAAGAAGAGGAAACGTATCGTACCGACCAAGCCAAATCAACTTGCTGGATACTAGCTAGTACTTGAGGGGAGAGAGTTATCCAGAGTTCTCAATGGACATCTTGTTTGTCTGCGGAAGAGAAAAGTAGGTTCGTGTTGCAGCTCTGTAAAAGTGAGGCGTGTCTTGTCCTCCTGCCCAGTTCGTGTTGGCCAACCATGTGAGTTAGAGTGTGGTCTTGTCCTCATGTCCACTGCTCTGAATAAGAAGTCCGGCCACGTTGTCGAGTACGAAGGGTGCCTATGGCCAGGTTGTAACCTGCAGTAGGGTATCATGGAATACGTACAACTAGTTTTATTTGGTCGTCTACTCGTACGTCTCCTTCTTTCTTGCAGACCTGACCGTGCTTTTTTCTTCTTTCCATCCTTGTTGGCTTTCTATACTCTCTCCTTTCCTTTCTCTTGCAATTTCCCAACAGCAAGTTTTCCTTTCATTCTTTAGTTTCCACCTTTTGCTTGTTTGTTTGTTTTACAAGAGACTGCCAGGATTATATTGCGGAGCCGATGGTGGCGCCTGCGACTGCTGCGACGATCCCATACCCATCATGCTCGAGACGGCCATTTGGGCATTGCCCCCAAAGGCGGGCATTTGCATACCACCTCCAGGAGAACCTCCCATTTGATCCGAGTCGTTGAGTGGCATATAATCGGCCAAAATGGTTCGGACCTGTTGTCGCATATCGTCCCGGCTCTTTTTGTAATGCCAGGCCGCCGCGACGGAGAAGCATCCGACAATAAAGAGCATCCATCCATAAAAGCTGTGGGTGGAAACGGATCCCTTGGGGAGACTTTCGTGCATGAATCCACCCCCCATGTGTGCGGTACAATGTCCGTGATGGACACAGGCGGCGGGATCACCGCAGTGACTGCACATGGTACAAATGTGAGGACGGGATCCGGCAGCAAATCCGGCACAGACGGCTTGAAAGACATTGGCAACCGACATGGCACCGCGAATGGCGACCTTATTCACAAATGCCGTGGGCATAATGACAACGCCCAGGTCGGTTTGTGCCTTAAGTTCGGATTCCAAGAAGGAGTTGGTGGCGTCCTTTTCCAGGCCTCCGGAATTTTGCATGCATCGTTCAATGAGATCGCCGTCGACGTGGGAATGATGGTAGACATCATTGACACAGTCGGGGTTGTTAAAGTAATCCATATTTCCACACCGCTTGTCAAATTCGGACACGTAGTCCCACCACTTTTCACCGACACCGTCGTCTTCTCCGTAATTGCTCCAGATGCAGTGTCGTCGGAGTGATTCCTTGACAACATCGAATCCACTCACACCGGAATCCAAGTTTTTATCAGGGTCCATAGCGCAATACCTAAGCAAATCCGAGTTAGTTCGATTGCTTTGGGTAAAGAACAGAATTCTGGAGATGCAATAGCAGAGAACAATTTCTTACCTCCCGTTATTTGAACACAAGTTGAAGCACTGATTCTCTCCGTTCATTCCGTGGCACTGACTCCGAACTCCATCAAATACGTACATGTGTGGCGTAAAGTAGGCATGATGTCCCAGTGCCTTGGCAATGGGTTTGAATTCGTTGAGAAAGTGATGTGCCACGGGATCAGTGGGACTGGAAAATAGATCGTACTCGACGCGACTGTCGGGATGGGGTAGCGACCATTGCATTTCCAATCGTACGGGTCGATTCTTGGCGAGTTCATCCTTGACCTTGTCGGCGTCGTGTTTGAACATTAAAAAGGATGGAATGGAGACATCCGAGCCACTGCCGTCATCGGCCATGACG